TGTAAATGACATAGATGAACAGTATGTTATAGCAGAGACATGTCTCTGGTTAAAGCTAACAATATTTTTCAAGATTTTTTAACATGAAATCCCATAAAGTGAGTATCATTTAATAAACAAGTATTAATAAACGTCATGACCATTTGTACTACCATTGACAAATATTTTTTACCTGTACTTGCAAAATCTGAATAAACTCACCTACTCTGGAGGCAATAATGCCACCCATCAATAACCATATAGACAGATTGCTTCCCTTCTTAGGTAAGTTAGTACAGTTCAATAATCCTGTGGATCCATTTCCTACGACTGCAAGACTCTCAGTTAAACTCACTTCAGTTCCATGTTGTGTAATTCCTGAGCTTGTGTTGCTCCCAGTTGAATTTATGTGTAGTAATGGCTCAAATGTCCATGGTGATTGATTCAGAGCTTTTGCTTCAATAGACAATGGCGACAGAAATGATGGTGTCCCATGCATCACTGCATCAAATCCAACAAAATGACCATTCGATGTCAAAGATTCATCAAATGAGTTACCCATTCCCAAAACACGAGAGCCTTCTGAAGTATCCACATTAGCAATTCCTGTTTCTAAGATGTTAGTGCTGACTGGGATTGAACAGTTCACAATCAAATCAGTTGGTGTGTCATATATATACCTCAGGTCAAACACAGTGCCGGGTGCCCACACTGACAGGACACAAGGTGACAGACATAAAACTTGAAGGAAAAATGAGATGAGACCCATAGACTCCAGGGCAATACATTTCCTTATTTGTGTAAAGAGAAATGCACCAAAGATTCCCAAAAGCGAGGCTCCTCCCATGAGAATACTGACCATGGATTCAGACAGGCCTTGCGAATAGGCATAACCTAAAACAAGGAACATTTATAGACTAGGGTGAATAAAACTATTGTTCAGTTTGATTAAATCCTAGTATACTTTCTACAAAAACAAAACATTACACAACAAGATCTTCTCAAGTAGATGTCTTGTGCCAATAAGGCGCTTCTAAAATTTTAACCAAATTAGATAACTGGTATATTTGAGTTATCATCTATTACATTTCTAAAAAAATTTGAATGGAGTAACCATATTCAAAACTCATTCTCAATACAAGCAGAGTTCCTATCTAAGACATTAGTCTATGTTTCAGTTATAGCCTGGACAGACGCTGAACGATTGGGATGACCATTTCATTTGAAGGGATGGATTCCATTTGGGAAACACCACATATGGTTGTTGTGAAACATTAACTTACTTGTTGTGATGCTGTCAAATCCAAGCACTGTGAAGTAAAGTGTGGATAAGGCCATGCCTGCTAGTACAACCTCTTGGTTCATGTAAGTTTTCCAGCCTCTTATCAAAGTTAACAAGCTTTTGAACAGTAACGCACAAATGTTTCCATTCTTCTGTTTTGGTTTTATGTTTACTTCATCTGATTCAGTTGCAGTCTCAATCACCTGTTTGATAACATCATTCTGGTTTGGGTCAGTACTGTCAATTTCATTTGCTAGTCTCTCATCATTTGATTTTGGATCTTCAATCATGCAAGTTTCTGCTGTATCAGTTTGTTCAGACTTAGCTATACCGCTATATGATTTTTGTGAGTTGTTATTTTTCCCATTTGGCAGCAATGGCTCGTTTTCATCTTCAACATCATCTGAATTGTTGAAACAATGAAAATTATTGTATTTTAGAAGGGGAATTCTTAAGATTCAACTTGTTACAGCTGATAAGTTGAAATACAGTATACATACATGTACCACATAGCAACTTGATAAAAAATGAATTATTTATCAATAGCTCACTATATATAAGACATTTTATATTGACAATCACATGTTCATCATTGATTTTCTTATGCTACCTCATGTGACCTCTTAATCCATGACTAAGCTTCTATGATTTTGTCTGATATTCACATAGTAGACGATGTTTTTAAATTGGTTTCAATTAATTCATTTGGTTTAAAGGGATCTAGGTTGTTTTGTGTTTTAACATGTTGCTTTTTGTGCTTTTACATCACCGGCATGATGTGGTATAAAAACTAAGAACAAGTAAAAAAATAACCTTTTTTGACAGTCTTTTTCTGTCCTTTACTTGCCAGTTCTGGATAACGTTTATACACGATCCATAACAACCAGACCTCAATCACTAAAGACAACATGTTCCAGCCAGCAATAAAGATGGCACTGACAACTGTGGAGCCATATGTCATGATCTGTCCAGTCAAAACAGGAGCCAGGATGTTTGTTGTCAGATCGATGGCTCGAGTCACTGCATTCAAAGCTGTAAAATAGAATTATGTTGACAGAAAATCATAACAAATACGGGGTCTCATGTAAGGTTAAGAGTATTTTGTATCATGTGGTAAGATGACAATCAACAAGCAATGGTGTGCATCTTTTATGTACTCAAACAATGTACATAATATGTACAGTAAAACTTGTTTAAGTGAAAGGTACCTCACAATACTATACTAATTTGGAGGTGTTCCACTTTCAGAGGTTAATTTTACATAAATAGCTGATGGGGCTTGTAAAGGTGTTTTGCCATTTCTTAAAAACCAGCTAAGGGGGTTTCTACCAGGTAGTATTATATGGGATCTTACATGCTAGTTTAGATTCATTTCCTCGCGACACCACCACAATCCAATCCCTTTCAATTGAGATCCTGTTGGCCTCATTGCCTGGAACAAAAATTCATTGTTTAAAATATACTTATAATATACTAAGTAACAGTTTTACAAAAATGCTGGATACTGCCTTCACAAACTTGTAGTCTGACTTATATAAGCTGAAAGCCTGTAAACAGTAAAACCTGTATAAATAAAACACATTTGGTACCTGTAAAAGTTTTCAAGTTAAGTGGCATTCCACTAACAGAGGTTTTTTTAACATTAAGTTTGGATTCTGAAAAAGTGTTCCACTTCTAGAGGTGTTCCACTTTACAGGTTTTACTGTTTTTTCATTTGACACCTGACTGTAGATGATATATTTCTTGAATATCTTATCCTCCAAATGTCACACTGACATTTAATTGAAAGTTGCAAATTATCATACTTTATAATACAATCATAACCTTACTTTTTATGTTTCTCTATAGAACCCCCTACTCCAACTGCACGATTCTCACAAAACCTTATACGTACCTAACCTGGCCAATACAGCTATGATGATGACCAAAGCCTGGAATATAGTCTCCAGCCATCCATCCCATATGGCAATGATTGGCTCTTTGTAGATGATTAACATACAGAGGAGCACTGCACAGATAGCTACACAAACCTTAGCAAAAACTAGAGAGTTTCTGGCAACTGAAATGTGAAAATATGTGAAATGGTGGTTAAAATGTGAAAGTTTTATTTACATGTGAATGATTGAAGGTGCATGTAAGATAAGATAAGTTTTGATTGTTCTTTATAGTGGTAGGTTTACATACATGTAACTCAACCCAGCCCACCTGGGCTTATCAACCACTTCAAATTTGAACATTTTAAATCATATAATAGATAAAAATAAATATCAGTCTGTGCTAAATATATGGTTACCTCTTTTGACGAAGCACTCTCTTACAAAAATGGGCAAATTTTCTTGTCATTTTCTCAGTTTGTGTCTATACATGAACATTTAAAATTGTTGTCAATAAAATACCTCTCTCTAATTCCATTATAAAAATGGCAATGAAAGACAAAATGTATTTCATCTTCCACATAATTTTGTTCACAGACACAGTATAACCTTTCTTATATATTTTTCATTCTAAAATGACCTGTTTCTATTCTTATATGGTAAAATACACATACTAAATTGTGCTAAAAGTGACCATTCATATTTACTTAAATTCAGTGTCAAATATTTTCAGTTTCATAATTATGTTTAAAGGTGGCATATGTCCTTTACTTTGGATTCGAACTAACCATATCTGGCCATCTAGTTTTATTATCAGTCATAAAACTTTTTAGCACAATTTTTAAATCACAATATGTCATATCATTAAAATGCAGAGTTAGATTACATTTATCTAAAATACCTTTTACAGTTTGAGACCATTTACTTTTCCATTTAACATCCAATAAAAACATTTTCCTTGTCAGTCTACCATCTTCAAACCATGATAAGCAGTTAAATCATCTAATTTGCTGTTCAATAACTAAAGGTGTCCAACCAAAATCTGCATGCAAAGCATGTAAAGCCACAAACTCGTGTACACTTGAATAATATCTTTGTTCTCTATCAAAAATAACATTACAGCATTTTAAATGATTTGCTCCCCATGTAGCATGATTGGTCTTGGTAAAAATATATGCAATAGTTGAAAATTACAGGGAAATATGTGCTTGATTATTGCTTTGAATTGAAGAAGCTTTGATTAGAATTTTGAATTTTTTTCTCAAAGCTGAAAAATGGAGAAAAGCAGTCTTGGACACTCTTTTGCTTTTATGACCACCATTTTTGTCTCAAAAGGTTTTTCAAAACATAATCACTTCTTCATTTCTGATATGTCAAGGTATTAGCCAAGGTCAGTCAAAACGTTAAAGGTCAATTTTGAATGAACCTTTACATCCTGACAAATGTCATTTAATATATAAGTTCAACCAAACTATTGTTTATGACCCTAACACAGTTGCAATAAAGTGGTTGTCAAACTGCCTTGAGATATAGGTGTCCATAAAATATATGTACTGTAGATGTATTTTACAGCCTTCACAATAATACACAGGAACAATTCAGATTCCCACATAATTATGATACAGAAGGAGCATACCACCATAGAGATGCTAAGAACAAATGTATCAATGAGCAGATGTAAGTTTTACTAAAATTATGTGGGCTGGTAAAATACTTAGGCTTTCTACAAGATACATATCATTTCTATATAAAAGCAGGCTCGCATCAGACTTGAAGAAATAACAATTTATAGACAATCGTGAACATCGTTCATCTGAATGTCTGGTACACTAAAGGCAACATAACTGATCATCGATGTTATACTTAAAAACATTCTTAAAACACTGAAACATTTTCATATAAAGAAGATTTCATTGGAAAAAACTCGAGCTGGATTATAATTAGTGACAGGGATTACAGTGACAAAAATTAGTGACAGTAAGATGAAGTTACTGACACTATTTTCTGGAATCATTCTAGGATATCTCATTTTCCTCTACTTACACATTATTCTCAAATCTCCTGTCAAATCAGAGTCATGTGACAAAAACTGTTTAACAAATGGGATTGACCTAACATTAAAAGAATCTCATAATTTGATCAGAGGAGGTACAAGCGATGATGAAGACCATATTGATATTGAAACAACGGAGGAGATGGATAAGACACACCATTATATAATTGTTACATCACCAAGGTCCGGTTCAGAGTATCTAGTACATCTATTAAACCAGCACTCCCATTTGTACAACTATGCAGAGCTACTTAATCCAGGGATTATGGCACAAGCTGGGATAGCCACGAAAAATATAACAAAAATGACCACATTCAAGTCTCGTGTTTTTGATTATCTACGCAACATGTTAAAACAAGACACAGATGCTTCATGTGATGTAAGAATATCTGGGTTTAAACTATTTATGTTTCAGTTGCAGTCAATGGGATTCACCCTTGCTGAGATTATCAATGAGTTATCAGATCCCTATGTTCTTGTACTCTATAGAGAGAACCTACTGGAACAATATGTCAGCTGGAAGATCGCAGATAAGAATAAAGTGTGGTGGTCTACGCATTCAAATCCTGATACAACTGTGCCAGTGACACTATCAGCTCTTGATAAGTTTATACAAGAAGAAAAACAACAGTGGGCTGAAGCCATGAAACATATCATCAAATCTAAAACAATGTTTGTGAAATATGAGAATTTACGTGATGATAAGTACACAGAGCTGAATCGAATATTGAAATTCTTTAAATTAGGTAGAACAGATAGAGTATTTCTTGATATGATTACGCAACAAAATCCACAAAAGATTGAAAACAAAGTGTCCAACTATGAGGAAATCAAGCGGCATATCTTGCAGAATACTGATAAATACACTTTGAATTTACAGTAAGGCCTGAACAGGTTCATTTTTTGTTTGGATGGACATTAACATTTGAAAAAGGACTTGGTGAACGGGCTTTTTTCTGTTAAATCATTGAAAAATTTATTTACCAATGTCTATGACAGCTCTGGTCTTAAATCATTTCACACCTACCACGCTAACCTAAACTGATCATGAAAAGCAGTATTTAAATGATAAAATTATGTTTTCAAACTATACACAGGGCCTTGAATAATGTACATGTGACACTTTAGTGACAATCAATATCTTGCACTTGTGTAGCTTATAAAGATAGTGAATGTAAATATATGTATGGGATTTAGTTGAAACATAACAGCAGTCGAGATAACGTTAAATATAACTCAAACATTGCCTTATAAAGCTACATGTACGTTATTATATCAGATTTATCAAGTGGATTTGACAAGACTATCAAAACACAGGTTGAAAGCCCATGTTATAATGAAGGTGTTGTCACAAGTCTATGGACCCTTTTACACAGAGGGTAACAGTCGTTATAAAATAAAACGAAGGATTTTGTAACATGTGTAACACCAAAATGTTTCATTATGAAGCAATTAAACTCAATAAACTGTGTAACTCTAAATAATAACTACCCATAATATGTCACTTGTATGTCAGAATCCTAATATAAGGAATTTTCATACCATATTTGGAATGTCAAAAAACCATGGTACATTATAACTAAACAGTTATATTTTAAAATGCAAACTTCATAAGTCTACCATGGCTGCATGCAATGTGGTTAGGGTCTGTAAAAGTATAGTTTACCTTTCAGTCTTTCATTGTTATCTATCCACTCTCCAATGAGAGCCCCACAGAGAAGCACAGAAAGACAGCAGAGTAGACCGTATATAGCTGGGAGTCTCAATGAATCTGGAGATAGCTGCACCAGAAACAATGCCACTGCAAAACTCCACATCCGAATACCCTGCAAAATTGATCATTGATGTGTATATTTACTTTCTTGTGACTTACAAACTCTTACATACATGGAATTAAAAATGATATTTCAAACTAAGCAAATAAAAGTTATACTTCAAGTCATAAATTTCACTTCAGAAAGGTACAGACTTACTGTATATACATTTTGTTGATACAAACATAGAATCCTGAAGAAGATATATAAAATAAAAATATATCAAAACTATTATAAATATAACAATTTGTTAAAGATTTTATGAGATTTTCCTGTAACTATTAACAATTTATCCTTGTAATCAAAGATAGGATTTCAGAGAAACTCGGTCAAAATGGAAATCATGGACTTAAAGAGTCCCTGTGAAAGAGTACTTTTTATGCTGAAACACTTCAATTTTTATGTTGGGAAATACGTGGAGAAAAAATAAGAAATTAAATGTAAGAACATACCCAAGCTGAGAGGGCATGGCTGATATATATGAGATTTGATGAACTCCCTAAACAACTCTTGATTCTGGCTGAAAATGTAATAAATAATATATAAATAATAATATATTTCATTCTATTAATAATTGTTTTATGCATATTTATTATATATGCATTAAACATTGTCTTTGTTAATAGAGTAAAATGTAGAAAAGGGAACATCAATTAATTGTAGATGCCAAATGGAAAATAAAACACTAAAATAAATTTCATAACGTTTATTTCAAATATAAGCATACTTGAAGAACCTGTAGAAATTATTATTATCAAATGTGCATCTTGCGTTATGTATAATTCATTATTTATTTATTATTGATAGAAACAATTAACTTATATTGCAAACTAATAAATTAATAATTTTAGCAGTACAAGTGTTCCTAACTTGATAATAATATAAAAAACAAATTTTCTGGAATTTACTTACATGACTTTGATTTTGATTCCATTTCCCTCGCCATTATTTAATAGACACTGCTACTGAAATAAAGGCTTGTGATTGGAAGTTAGATGATTATAGAATCATTCTTGAGAATCCAAGCATCTATCTATACCTCATATCTTTAACCTACAAAATATTATCAATTTACTGTTAAGATAATAACAATAAACTCGTAAAATGTGATGAGTCATTCAATGTTTTATTGATGTACTGATTGGGATGACAGAACCACACATGGTATGCCAAGAGACATTACATAGTCATATCTTTGACCACGAGTTATTTCTGACTATGCAAATGATCCTCTTGTAAAGTCCCAAAGTGTGCCCAATAGAGGCTTTTCCATACAGCTTTGAAATCTTGTTGAACATGTTAAAGTCTCGTTTTTAATGATATTTTGGGATATCTGCATTTTTAACCACTAAAGACTAGCATTTTCTTCTCTTTCTGTGTGTAATCTTCTATCAAAACAATTTTGATTTGCACTGTTATTTACCTTTATTCAAATTCTAGAGATTTTCAAGTTTTCTAAAAATGGTCAGGCTAAATCCCCATTGACACAATGTTGAAAAACCTTTAAAAGTTCATTTACTCTTAAAAGGAGCACAATTTTAATGTGAAATTAGTGACTCTTGCTATTAAGTTGCCATGTTATTTAGCCCTACCAATACCCATGATGCCATCTATTTTTCCATTTATATGGAAAAGGGTCAATTCCAGCCAATCAGAACACAGTATTTCATTTAATTACACTGCTTGAAATAATCAACCATGCACCCACTCAAATGCACCTAAGGAAACTGATTACACCAATTCCAAAGTTGATTGAAAATCTATATCTGGAAAAGGAAATGACAACCCAGGTGCTTTAAATATTGAGGATGATAAAGTTATACAGTCCTTATGTTTTTCCCAAATATACCTTTATGTGTTGTATACCCAAATGAATCCATCCCTGTTTAAAATAACTTAAGAACAATAAGAAAATCATCTTGATTTTTATAAAGGAGATGGAGCTTTCGATGCAGTAACAACAATCTTTTATGTTTATTTACCTAAAAAGTAGTTTCTGTATTACTTGTTTGTCATTTGTCAACTTCGATTAGAACATGATGTACTTTAAACATTGAGAACTATTGTTTTATTCGTGTTTTATTCAACCTGTGAATGTAAGTGACACTCACCTTATGCATGTGCAGTTATGCATTACCTGCCTCTTTAATTCCTTCTTATATGTAAAACTCTATCATGAATATCAAAATTTGATTTGTATTTAAGTGCGTAATTCTTATTTATAATAGAAAATTAATTACATTTACTTGAAGTTACACCTTATCATGTCACATGGTATATTCTTAAAACGTCATGTTCTTAACCCATTGATATACATTTAAGGGCTGATATGTACATCCAAGTGCTGTTCTATTTGCTTTTTTATCATAAATTACAATTGTTTTGGGTAAGCACATTGCAACCTACTGTACTCCCGGTTAATTTAGCGAGTTTTAATTTGGCAAATTTTGAGAAAACATGATTTCACGGCTATTAAAATATCGCGAATTTCACTTTGTACACCTACTACTATGTCATCTTGGTCAATTGCACGCAGCACCTTAACCTCTCTTACATTGTTATTTTTGTTTACTTGATCTAATAAGCCACTGTAACAGACATTGGTACTAACTATTCCATTTATCGCCTAAAAACACTTGACAAACATTTTACAAAACATGAGATGCAATGGAGTCCCAGGTAATAAAAAATTTCACAAATCCCCGGGGATTTAATTGACAATTTTGCGAAAATTATTTTTCCCGATTTAACCACAATCGTGAAAAGCGCGAAAACTCAATCCCATGTGAAAAATATACCGAGAGTACAGTCTTTAAAGAGACAAAGAGACCTTTACTGTTTTTTTCTCAGTCAGTGCAGGCCGCGGGGGGGGGGGGTTAAAATCCTTATTTCAGTTGAAAACATTATAAAGTCTGTATATTTGTATCATTATGTTAATAATACCTTGATGTAACTATTTTCATACTTTATATATATATATGAGCCACAGAAAAAGGGGTTTACTCACAGATTTTTTGAATAAATCTTAAAAAGCACAAAGAGACCTTTGAACTGAGCCATGGCTCGCATCTTAACAATGTTTCTTTGCAGATATAGACCAAAAGATGGATTTGAGTTTAGCACATTTTCTTCTTAATCTTGGGCATATTTTTGGCTCTGTAGCATAATTTTACTTTTTGTGATAAGACCGGTTTTCCTATGTCGAGTCTTATATAACTGATGACTATGTTATATACTTGATACAAAAGCCATGTAACAAACAAAGCTGTCAAAAAATAATTATTTCAATCTCTGAAATGCACAACTACAAATATGTAATGTAGCTTCCACGTCCTCCAGGTCTCTGATGGAGCCTAGCAACTGCAAAGGTCATGAAATTTGTTACCATAGCAACATACCCCAACAAAAATGTCTGAACCCCATAACATGTTTCTATCTCTCTCTTTAGTAAGTTCTTATTTATAAGGATAGAACTATAACATATTGCCTATTACCAATATGCAAAATTGAACTGATCCTGTTACTGGTTGCTATGGTAACTGATTCAAATGCTTAAATGTTTGCATCTTTTTTTACATTTTTTATCATGTTGCATTTTAGAAATATCACTATATGGTTGATAACAAGTTATTGATTCTTAGTACTGCCTTAAGAAACTCCATGGGGACCCTTGTTAACTATTGTAAACAAAATATTTAGCTTAAAATTGTACAGCTTTTATGAAATACATGTAGTTACAAATGGACATAAAATAGTCAAGTAAATGGTATATAATAATGCCCCATTGCCGTTCATTGTATCCAGGAATGGCTGGTCACAAACATACATGCAGGTATCACCCAATGCTACCAAAACAAAATGCATCATTTTTTCCTCAAGACAATAAATATACATTGCAAATGATTAAATCTATCCTGATGACAATAAACTTGAACAAGTTGATAATATTAATTTTCTTGGTATAACAATAGCACCCTTGGTATACGCAGCTAACGAAAATTGACCGGTACGGGTCAAAAGCTGGACCGGTACGGGTTAACGGTTTTATTTGACTTTAAAACAGCCATAACTTGCTCAATATTGACTTCCTCGTGTCTAATTTGAAATATATGATGCCTCACGATGCTTTAAAGAACCCCAATTTCTTACAGATTTTTAAACGGACCAAAACTCTCTAAATGCGCATTTATGCTCTTTTCTCTCGAGAACGACTGTCTCATTTTCACGATAACTTTTATTAAGTACTTCTAACATATAAGATCTATTTTTCGCGTCATTTAAATTCACAAGATGTAAATAGCATGTCATTTACATCATACCTTGATGGGGAAAATAGATCTTATATGTTAGAAGTACTAAATAAAAGTTATCGTGAAAATGAGACAGTCGTTCTCGAGAGAAAAGAGCATAAATGCGCATTTAGAGAGTTTTGGTCCGTTTAAAAATCTGTAAAAAATTGGGGTACTTAAAAGCATCAGGAGGCATCATATATTTCAAATTAGACACGAGGAAGTCAATATTGAGCGAGTAATGGCTGTTTTAAATTCAAATAAAACCGTTAACCCGTACCGGTCCAGCTTTTGACCCGTACCAGTCAATTTTCGTTAGCTGCGTATACCAAGGGTGAATAGATAAACATTGAAGTGGAATCGCTATATTGCTTCAGTTAAATGCAAATATCTCTAGTACAATTGGTATTTTATGTATAGTTCAACAACTGTTAAATATCAATGGATTTATGAGCATCTTTTATTCACTTATATATTCTCATCTTATATATGGCAATATTATTTGGTGTCAAACATGTACTTTACCTTCGCTATATCTTGTGCAAAGAAATTCACTTGTATTGCACTGAACATAGGCCCCTAGAACATGTTTCATCCCCTACCATTATTCAAACAGTCACACCTTTTAAATATATTTGACATACACAAACAACAGAAAAAATATCTATACTATTCATGCGTTAATGGGTCAATAAGCTTGATAACTGCCAGAAGATTTTTTCCTTTTTCAAAATTGTTCAGGCGAGACATGAACACAATACTAGATAAAGGATAGTTATGATAAATCTATGGTGTGGACGAACAAAGGAAAATCTAGTATGTTAACTTTCTCAGCACCAAGAATTTGAAATCAAATGCCAAACAAGATTCAATCCTCTCAAAGTGTTCCAATCATGAAGATAGATAAGAGCTAAAAAATACTTTAATTAATTAGTTAATTAGTTGAAATATTACTCTTATACTATACTTAATTTGGGCATTATAAGACACACAACTTAAGTAAATGAACCCATTGTAACACACAAACAGATCCCCCTCTGTTTCTATGTACACTCCCCTCCATAAGTTTGGCAACTTTAGATCCCCCATTGAACTACGTGTTAAAGCCTCCTTACATTTGAATTTTTATTTACTTAACCATGAAATAACTTATAATATCGATGGAAACGTAACTTGACTTTATTTCCAATACCTCCAAATTTTCTCAATTTTTTTTCTCAATTACAATAGGTCGAAAATTGATGATAAATTTGATGAATTTTTGAAAATCGTCATTCCCATGTAATCCAATGGGAAATGGAGGGTTCCGGACTTATTATATAAAAATTCAAAGGTAAAGAGGCTTTAACACGAAGTTCAATGGGGGAGCTAAGGTTGCCAAACTTATGGAGGGAGTGTATGTACAGTAATATACCACAGTCAGAAATATGCACAATTTGTGTCAACCGCTCATTGTCACATTTTGATGCATAGCTTAATAAATACACGTAATAATAATACAATACTAAACCCATACTTTGCTCGTGATATATAATAATCTTAATGAAGTGGCATGTTCTGTACTAACAATTTTTATTACAAAATAAATAAAACTCAAAGAAAAGGGCAACAACTCAATTAAAATATATAAAAACATAAATAGACTGATTACATTTTACCACGGGCATTTTACACTTTTGAAAGGGTACAGTTTTGGAAGTGTTTTGTTAGATGTGGAATAAGTGGTAGAAATTACAGATACATACCACAGTCAGCACCATCTATCTAATATAATAGATGATAATAATGCTCACTGTGCATCATGCAGGTTAATTTACTAAGTTGATTAGCCTAATAACTTTTTAGTAAACTAAAAATCTTAATTCTTACCTGGAATTTAAAGGTGTCGTTAGATGTCGAACCTCTTTGTGATATTGATCGGGCGGGAACATAAATTATGCAGATATGGGTCACTAAATCCAGGTCCAACACATTCTAGATTCAAGTTGAATTTCAACATAAACTTTTCATGACCTTTCATTCGACCTTTTCATTCAAATCACGTGACTGTTCAAAATGGCGAATGCAGACGAAGAAATTGAAGGAGCGACAATTATTGCAGAATCCTTGAGAGATCAGGTAGGGATCACGATGAATTCAAGTCATATAATTAGTGTATAAATATATAAGAAATAAAATTGCGAAATACAAATTGAATATGCTGTCTGATGTTTGCGAAATAGCCATTTAGTAGTTGTCCTAATTTCTGACCTGATTTGTGGACTTTCAATTTCATTCAGTCAGTAAGTTACATTTGTAAATTTCAAGGGTAATTTTTTTATTTTGTACATGTACGTTCAGTAACATGAAATAAACTAGCAAAGACTCCGCCTTTGAAAGATTTAAGGTGAAGTTATGCCTTGGTTCTTTCTGTAACGACCCCATATGTGATCATATCAGATATTATTCAATATAGTGCTGACTGAACGACCCTGGGCACACTCGTCCGGGGAGCTGTAGTGTATGGAGTCAGCTACTAAATCTGAAAGGGATTGTGCTTAATTCAATGCCCCGTGTGGGAATAAAACTCAGGACCTTCCCCCGCTTACGAGACTGACGGAGGACTTCCTGTAATACATGTAACTGTTACACAAGAGCAATTCTACATCTGACACCAATAACAACTTGGCACGCTCATCTGGGGAGCTGAAACCGTGTAACAAGCCAGATCAGGCCCGTAGCCAGGGGAGTTTGGGCGAACATCCCCTGGCCAAAATTTCTTTCAAAATCATGCAGTTTTTCACCAATCTGACTATTTTTTGAGTGATTTTTGGACAAATTTGCCAAACGTGAACCCCCCTAGAATTTTTTAGAAAAGCGAACCCCCCCCCCTTGGAAAATTCTGGCTACCGGCCTGCAGATACAACATGTATCTGAAAATCTGAAAGGGAGTGTAGTAACTTCAATGTCCCATGTGGTCCCCCACCGTTTGCCCCAAAGAATTCCCACGGTGGTGAACAGTGAGCCCATATGGCCCGAGTGTGACAGCTCCATAAGAATGTTGTCATTTATAATGGACACATTTTTCTGTTCCATGTATTTGTAGGGTGTCCAGTACATGTTTGGTATCGTAGGTGTGCCAGTTATAGAGATCGGCATTGCAGCACAGGCAGCTGGTATAAATTACATAGGCTGTAGAAATGAGCAGGCGGTAAGACAACTGGGTTTTACATGTTGTTTTCTCTTATACAAAAAGTCATAGCAGTGCTTGTGTTTTACACCAATTTCAAGAAAGATTAAACAAAGAATTAAACAAGTCATATAAACATTGTGTTGTATTGACACTTTCATCAGCATTACACCGGAATAACCTGACAATGTTGTCACAAATGGCGGACGCTTCAATTAGATTTTCATGAACTTCATGTTAATAGAGCACCTAGACTAAATTCCTTTGGAAAACAATCAATCAAAGTGTCGTTATACTCATTGTACAGTTAATTATGTTCTACCATCAAAATAAAAGTCTTTGATTTAACCGATCAAAATGAGATACGGGACAACGGACACTGTATTACCATATGTCGTTGTTTTTTTAAATTATTTCAAATTCAGATTCCGTTGTCATTGACGATATCGAAGATGCTATATTGTGGCGATTCACTACCCAATTTGATCGAAATTGGGATTTCGTATGATACATCATCACAAGAGCTTAATACATGCACAGAATTAGCGATGATAAAATCCCATAAAATTAGGACCAAGTGATTAATGAGTTGAAGCGACGGTTGTGTCCACCATTTTTGATAACGGTATCTGACTTTACCGTTGTCAGGCTATTCCGGTGTGAGCATCAATGGATAAGCAATAGTAGTCTGACATTTACAAAGCAGCACTAGTCTTTGGACATTTTGTGTGGAAATCTTTCAGGCTTGTTATGCTGCTCAGGCTATAGGCTATTTGACAGGCCGCCCAGCAGTGACACTGGTGGTGTCTGGTCCAGGTCTCTTGCATGCATTGGGAGGCCTGCAGAATGCACAAGAAAATTGCTGGTTAGTGTAAAATGAGAAACTTTTAAGGGATGATTAAAAACTTTTTGTGTACAAATAAAAAAAAGTTTAGTAGATATTTTCATGGTAAAACATTTTTCTCAGCATACTTCGTCATTTTGCTTTTTTGAATTACATGCTATTATGTCACCACCATACACGTAAGTGGCATTCACACAAGAATCAAAGAAAATGCCTTGTAAAATCTCCATTTAACTTATTGTTTGCTAGTATTAGTGTTTACTAGTGTTTATAAACACTGTTTGAATATAGTATATATGCTGTAGAGCTCTGTCTGACAGCGTAGTATGTTTTGTAAATTCCAGGCCTACCATAGTGATTGGGGGATCCAGTGATGAAGGGCTAGAATCAAATGGAGGTTTTCAGGAATTTCCACAAGTTGAAAGTGCTCGTCTTTATACTAAATACACAGCACGGGCCATGTCCATGAGCCGCATACCATTTTATATTGAAAAGGTAGGCAATCATTGAGCTACTACTGTACATGGTACTAGTCGAATCCAGTCTGATTATGGCACTTGTCTGCTTTTGCTTCAGTAAAATTATCAACTTTAACAGATGGACCACTGCCATCTTGGTAACAAGTTTTCTTGTGGTGCTCACATGCCTGTCCATTGGCACAAAACAACTAAGCAAATACATGTAAGTCTGATATTATATTGGAATTCGTCCCATTTGAGTGGTTTTCATATAAAATGTTACGTTCATGAAATCTTCCCCTTCTTATGCATACTAAGTTATTGCTCTATTACATCATCAATAAGCTTTATTGATTTTAGTTTACAGGTGTACATGTGTGAACAATTATTTCATTTCAAATGATCTGAAAGTTTAATAACTTAAACAAAGTGCAGATTGATTGTTTTGTCATATTTAACAAATAACTCTTAAAATGATCCAACAAGGAGACAATATTGATTTTATTTTTTATTTATCTAAAAAAATATTTTATCAGTAAATGTAACATCTTAGTAGTTTGTAGAAATCTGCTCTGTCAGTTACAGTGGTCATTTAGCATGGCACAGCCATCCCATCTAGAAAGCTGAAAAGAGAAAAACATTTTTTGTCAACACACTCATTATATTATATTATATTATTGGATAGTAGTAGTAGCAGTCATTAAATAAAACACAGTGAATCTGTACACCTTTATAATTGCGTCCCAGCCTCATGCATGCAATTTACATAATGTTGAATGACACACAGTAAAATATTTTTTAATCCAAACACCACTGGAACTGGTCAAAAGTGTTCAGATTGGCAGAGTTCACATTTTAAGGCTTTTTAATATGTATGTCTATGGCATGTTAAAAATGAGACCAAAAAGACTTCACAATAAGAGTTGTTCGTATACGGAGGTGTTCAGATGTGGCTTGTTAGCTCAAATTTTACTTACTTTAATAATGTCCATATCCCTCGGGGGCAACATATCCATTTGGTCCAACAACCTTTCCAGTCTGGGCATTGATGTAACCACCATTGTCTCCAACAATCAGACCAGATGGGGACTTAACAACAGCTCCATTGGGTCCAACATTGGCATACGGATAGCCATCCCCATATGGGACATATCCGTAATAATGATCCTGGTATCCATAGCTGCCATGTCCATAGCTGTTCCTAGCATATCCATGACCATATCCGTAGTCAACTTTGCCATCACGGTTGGCATCAAGGGAATCTGGGACACCATCACGGTTCTCATCATCTCCATATCCGTAGCTACGGGGAGCAGCACAGGCAATCGCCACAAGGGCAAAAAGGCACACAAACTTAAGCATGTTGAATGAGATTCTGGAAATAAGACATCATCACTTTTTACGAGATCTAATCATTTTGCATTATTTGGACTAAAATGTTGAAATAAAAATAATTAAAAAGCCCTGAACTTGTAAAAAATCAACATGTGACAATTCAACTGATGTTTTTGAGGAAATATTTGAAAAGATAAACATTAGGTCTTACCTGTTTAATTAAGATGAACATAAAATTACTAACATGTACTGTACTTACCTTGTATTGAATTGAACCAAATGAAGTGAATGTTAAATCATTGAATCGTCCTGGATTTTATACTGAATTAGGATGTTTCCTAAAGCAAATACCAAGCCTTGCCACTCCATATTACTCTAATTAACATAACTTATGCAAATGAAATAATTGTTTATAACCTGGAGCCGGGATACTTTCACCTTCAGAGTTTTTTTAATGAACTAAATCTATTTGAAAGTTTGGACAAGGAAGCTTTTTTTCCCAATTAATTTGGGATGGCTTATATTAAAGTCCTCCGTCAGTTCATCAGTTCGTCTTTCTGTCCAAAAACAACTCAAATGCAATATGCATTTATCCCACATAAGTTTTTGATGAAATTGTTCAAAACTGTACATGTAATTTGAACATTGTCTACTGTAATTACGTAAGCGAATAATATATTGGGTCTGCTTTATGGAATGATTCATTGTCCCCCCCCCTCCTCTGAATTTGCTGAATTGAGCTGTTAATAGCCTGTTATAGCTTGTTTCAGGCAGTCAGAACCAGTATGTATGGGAGACCTGGGGCCTGCTATCTTGACTTCCCTGGAAACATCATTGCTGGTAAAAAGATCCCAAGAAGCAGCATCATGTAAGTAATTTAGTGTGCTATATGTGATGCTACTAAATAATACCCAAATGTATGTGGGTCAAAAACATTTCAAAAAGCCTATACCCTGCTTTCTTGGAATTTGTGAAAGATTTGCTTTTATTTTCAGTTTTAGTCAAACAATATGCTAGATATCCATATACAGTATGCTAATTATCCTATATATTTATTTATTTTTAATGCTTCCATTTTTATGTCACCACCAGAAGTATAGTCTCCAACTTTTTTATGGACAGTGTACATCATTCAGCGGTTGGTGTTTTATAAGTACATGGGGTCATTTATCATTATACATCTGTATATGAATCTTTCGTGCGGAGTAAGTCACCCCCCTCTTATATTCTATATATTGAACATTAATATATAGAATATAGGAGGGAGGGGTGACTTAATCCCCATGCTTTCAATGTTAAACAAGTGGGCCATAACAAGTGCAGTGTTGGACCGGGGTGAGTGAGAGAATTAGTTACCTTGTCATAAGGCTGAACTTTTAGACTTATGTGTCTAAAGAGGATCAGTCTTGCTATCAAGGTAATGAAGTAGAATGTTTTCCTGATTTGATCCTTAGAGTGTCTGTCTACTTGTCAACATCACTCACCAATTTAAACATACAGAAGATATCGTTAGTACCTCAGTGTAAATACTCGCATCTGATTGGTCAATTAGTGGTCAACATTTTTGCCTGTACCTCACCTGTGCATCATGGGATATCATATTATTGACCGCATATGTGACTGTACTACACTTGTGAATTATGGGGAATATGACATCACAATGTTTACAGAAAACAGTGTAGACGGACATTTTGTAAACGTTGATGAAAGTGATATTTTGACTTTGCTAGACAACGAGTATAGCAAAAATACAAATACAAACGCAAAATTAACATTAAATTTTCGTAGTGAGTTCGCAGTTATGTGCCGAAAACAGAGAGTCTAGCTACCACTGTCTTCAGATTTTCTTAAAAAATTATTGCTGGCGTGGTTCAAAGAAAAGATTGTGAAATGAAGCCATGATTGATGACTGTCATCTATATGTGTATTATTAGTTTCTTCTGACTAACAAAACAATTGTAGACCTCTCCATTCGGTCAACCGTCAAAATCATATACCTCGACTGTAAACCTTGAAACTACTGTTGACCTCGACCTTCTGTCTCTGTCAACAGTAGTTTCTCGGTTTACAGTCTCGGTATACAATTTTGCCGGTTGACCTCTGGAGAGGTCAACAATTGTATATTGTAGAAATTATGATTTAAATATGAAATCATTCTCTAGCCTAGTATTTAATGCATTAATACTGTATGTACTTTTCAGCACCAGGCCAAAGGTGCCATTTCCTCCAAGAACATTTGGAGACCCTGATGATATAAAGTCAGCTGTAGAATTACTCACACATGCTAAAAATCCATTGGTCATCATTGGAAAAGGTTTGTATGTTTAACTGTATGACTCAATTATATTATAATGCATACTGTAAGTGCCTTACCAACACACCAACACATTATAAAAGGATAGAACTGGCATGGTTTAGACCTCCTTGTGTTCAACTGCCTTAACTGTTTATGACATTCCTAAAGCTTGAACTAGTATAAATACTGTACATGTGTTATGATTATGAAGAAAGTAAATTACTCTCAGTTTTATTCAGTTTGATATACTGTACTATTAATGAAGCATTTTTCACATGAGATGTTTGTTCATGAAATCCACCAATCTTTTCAATGATAGCTCATCTGCGTCCTTGTTATAGCGATCACCATCAACCCTATTGAATGCATGACCAGCATTATCATAGAAGAAGAACTCATTTTTATCACCAATATTTTCCAACAAAATGCGCAATTTCTCAGCCTCTACTGGATTGGCTGATCGGGAAGTATCATTCATTCCAAAATGAGCTTGCACAGGTACAGCAATGTTGCTAATGTTGCATCCACACATCTCAGGATCTGGTATCCCATAAAATGGTGCAGCTGCTGATATCAAATCAGGATTGATTAATGCTGCTGCTGATAATGTAATTCTTCCTCCAAAGCAAAATCCAGTGATACCAACCTGAATGATGTGTAAAGATTAAAGAGTATAACAGAAGGTCCAAGGAACGGCATAATATATTGTTAGTACCTCAACTGAAATACTTGATTCTGATTGGTTGATTAGCGGTCAACAATATGCACTGTTGACCGCTACTAGATACTGTTGACCGCTACTTTTGAAGAAAAAAGTTTTATGCCGTCATCCTATTGAAAACGTTGATGAAAGTGATATTTTGAGTTAGCAAAAATAGCAAAAATGCAAATAAAAACGTAAAATCAACATTAATTTACTAATGAGTACGCCGTGATGTGCTGAATATAGAGAGTTTAGCTACCACTGTCTTCAGATTTTCTTCAAAAATATTGCTGACGTGGTTCGGAGAAGAGATTATGAAATGAAGCCATGCCAATTGATGATTGTCTTCTATATGTGTATTATTAGTTTCTTCGGACTAACAAAACAATTGTAGATCTCTCCAGAGGTCAACCGTCAAAATCGTATACCGAGACTGTAAACCGAGAATTCTGTCTCTGTCAACAGTAGCTTCTCGGTTTACAGTCTCGGTATACGATTTTGACGGTTGACCTCTGGAGAGGTCAACAATTGTATACAGTAGAGCATTAACACAAAAAATTACTATTACTATACTAGCCAGGGATAAGAATACCTTTTTGATTCCCCTTGACTTGAGGTACATGGCCGCACCCTCAATATCCTTCATGGCTCCATCATATGAGAGCATTCCGCTTAGTTCACGAGCTTCATCATGAGTCTGAGCTATGTCACCTCTGATAAAATAATGATGTGCTTTATTCTAATCACCGATTTCCTGGCCAGTCTACTATACATGTACATATACATGTATTTATCTTATTTGTGTATGGGAAGTTACAATTTGTTGGCACTATATATATTCATCACCCTTCACGCATGGTTTAAAAAGCGGGTCCCTTACATAAGATATTTTCTTCATACATTAATAGAGTTAAACTAAGTAGTACATGTTATACCTGTAGTACATATACCCACCTATAGAGATCCACTGCAAGTGTCACTAAGTTACCTAGTTTAGCAATCTTCAAAGCACGGTCAGTTATCTCATTAGTCATACCTAGATTCTCTTGGATGACGATTAGACCTTTAGTGGACTTCATCAAGTCTCCACTTAAACTTCCATACATGTGATCAGCCTTTGGATTCTCAGATGTGAACCTCACAATTTCTTTTTCCATCATAGTTTTTGCTTGTATAAAAACATTTCATCAGTAAATACCATCATAAAGTTTATTCAAAATTTGTTGATAAAGTAAGTAGCCTATTTTTAAATTGCCTACATTTTCGTGTCACACCACATATTGTTAGTCTCCAACTTTTTTGTGGTGGCAGTCACCAGTTGGTGTTCATTGGTTGGTGTTCATCATTTGGAATCTGTAAAAATGGCATGTGGTATCCAACCAAACGAAGTTCCGGGGAGATATAGAGAGTTGTTAATCCGTTAGTTTGTCCGTCTGTGTGTCTGGGTGATAGCTTAAATACCGGTTGACAGATTTGATTTTAATTGTGTAGGCTTATGGGTGTAGGACTTCTGTTCAAAAGAGATTTTAAGATGGCCACTGAATTTCAAAATGGTTGCCATTATTTGTAAAAAATGCAATCTTTGATAACTTAAATAACAGTGAATGGATTTGGTTCAAATTATATATGCTAATACCCAGGGATGGTCGCTATTTATCATTCACTTTATTCAAGTGGGATTTGCTTCTTCGTAGAGTCGCTGATTCCTAGTTAACATTGTATTTCAATTCATGTTGATCTATACAACTTCTAAGATAATTTGAAGAATACCTTCACAACGCTTATTGACCACTGCTTCCAAGTCATTCAGTTTACTTCTGATATCCTCTTTCAGTTCATCCAAACTTGCCTGTGTTGCTAGTATATCCATAGGTAAATCTACCTTGAAACTCCATCTATTCCGTTTTGGTTTAGCATTTGCTAGGTGTGTCAATTGCACTAAAAAAATGGATGACAAAAGTATCCTAAACAATGCATTCATATTGCTTTTTTTCAATTTTGAAGTGTTTCGTAAGGAACATGTACAGTAGTTTAGTGTAAATTCTGATAATTATAAAAAATTTAATCTCTGATAATTGAAAAATATTATTAAATAGCAATTACTGAAGATCATTAATCATCCACTGGACCATGATAATATGTGCAGATCAATCAATCATTCTAGTTTTTCTAATATTTGAAAATCAATGTTTTTATTATCAAAGTTCATTGGGGTATGAATGCCTTCATCCTTTCGTCTTGGCTATAACTCAAATACCAATGACCAGATTTTTGGAATGGCTATTGGTCTCATAAATGTTCAGTTCATTGAATTGTCCAAAAAGCAATTTTCATAAAATATGGCATACATTTAAAGAAAAATAGTACCCCTTATTTCATATTACTATTTGTCATTTTATATGTTCTGCTATCTAGAGTTATTTTGTTGATATTTAATATTACATGTGTATACTTGGCAATTTTTAATGATGAATTGTAATTTTATTGTAGCATGGACACATTCTTACTTGTTTCATAGTTTGCTCAATTTTGGTAGCCATTTCTGTTGCCATTGCACTATTGTAGGGAATAGATGGCATTACTTAAGAGAATATATCACAACATTGTAGGGAATATACCCTGTACATGTATTACAACATTGTAAGGAATATACACTAAACATATATTACACTATTGAAAGAACAGATTGCAAAATTGTAGGGAATACATGTATATATTGTAACAGTTTGGCCTATTTTTGTGGATATACGTGGTAGTGGTAGCGTGGCTAATAATAGGCCCACTGTTTAGTAAACGGTGTTTACTTGGTGAGTTACACGGCACACGTTAAATGTGCGATTGTCCCTAAAGAATTAAACAGACATATACAATTAAATATAAATATAAAACAGTATATTGTGGCGTTTATAAGCCCAAATAAAGATGTACATTAAATGTCAAGTATGAAGGTTAAAATGCTACGATATTATTATCTCTCTCAAAACTCACAACTCAAAAGTCCATATAAGCTAATATTTATCACTAATAAAGCAATATCTAGAGTCCGAATAAGCTAATAATAATCACTAAGAACACAATATCCAGAGTCCATATAAACTAAAGTAGATGATCACTATATACCACTGTTGTATCTCCAATATTAAAAGTTCATATATGTTGTAATACTTGTACGTCTTGTATTGTACTTGTAACTTGAACCTGAAATAGTAATCTCCTGGATCCTCCTCTATGTAGTGTAGTATGATTCAAATTTGATGATGTGAAATCATCTAAGTCAAACTATTGCTCCGTAAACGTAAATCTCCTGGATCCTCTTCACTGTATTGTAGTATAATTCAGCTTTGATAATGTGAAATCATCAAGTCAACTATCGGCTCGGTAAATGGCTATCTCCTGGATCCTCCTCTCTGTGTTGTAGTATAATTCAACTTTGATTATGTAAAATAATCTAAGTCAAACTATCAGTTGTGTAAACTCCTAAGTCCTGGATCCTCCTCAATGTGTTGTAGTATAATTCAACTTTGATTATGTGAAATAATCTAAGTCAAACTATCAAGTCTGGAAACGACTATCTCCTGAATCCTCGTCACTGTAGTATAGTATAATTCAACTTTGATTATGTGAAATAACCTAAGTCAAACTATCTGTTGAGTAAACTCCTAAGTCCTGGATCCTCCTCAATGTGTTGTAGTATAATTCAACTTTGATTATGTGAAATAATCTAAGTTAAACTATCAACTCTGTAAATGGTTATCTCCTGGATCCTTCTCTCTGTGTTGTAGTATAGTTCAACTTTGATTATGTGAAATAATCCAAGTCAAACTATATCAGCTCTGTGAACGGCTATCACCTGGATCCTCCTCAATGTAGATGTATATTCTAACTTCAATGACACAAAATCATCAAAGTTAAAATATCTCACTGGATAATCTGCTAAGTCCTGGAACGTCCTCTCTGTAGATGTATATTCTAACTTCAATGACCCAAAATCATCAAAGTCAAAATATCTCGTTGAATAGACTGCTAAGTCCTGGAACGTCCTCTCTGTAGATGTATATTCTAACTTCAATGACCCAAAATCATCAAAGTCAAAATATCTCGTTGAATAAACTGCTAAGTCCCAGACCTCTTCTCTGTAGATGTATAAGTCAAAACTATCACAATCTTCAAACTACCAAGTCCAAGGACATCTAAAACACGGCATCAACTGCTAAGTCCATGTAGCCTGCTTCCTTCACAATTACATAATAAGGCTACCTACAAATATAGCATGCACACAACGACATATGCAAAAATATAACATGTGAAAATATTTGACCTCTAAAATGACTAAGTTCATTTAATGTTAAGTGATACTGATATTAAAATATTCTAAGTTCAATATTTCTCTTTCCAAAAACAACAAAGTCCACAATAATATTTCACCAAATATTGAGTTAAGTTAATTTCATACTAAGTTATACTGATGTTAAAATATTCTAAGTTAAATATTTCTATCTCCAAAAACAACAAAGTCCAAAATATTGTTTTACCAAATATTGACTAAGTTCAATAATGTTGTAAATCGTCTAAGTTCCTTGATGATCAAAATAGCTTGTTTCTCAAACACAAGTTATGTCAGCATTTCCTCTCAGTCTATGAAGGCTGGACAATACGTCTAATGCTTTGCGCTGGGGATAGCTTCACCCTGTTGAAGTTTTGTCCAGTCTTGTAGATCTCCCTTACTTCCAGTGCGATAAATAAACTAAGTCTCACACACTTAGTTGCATCAAAGTTTTCCCAAAATTCCAATCTCCAAAATAAACTAAGTTTCGCACACTTAGTTTCCTCAATCTGCCCTTGTATACTGCAAACGTATAGCATGGCTCATCAGATGTATTCTACTGAGGTACAGCTTCTATCTTCATGTGTATACTGCAAACGTATAGCCTCAACACAACAAAATTAACTAAGTTCTCAAAATAACTTAGAAAATTTAAGCTGTTTCCCGAAATTCCGCTCTAGAGGTCCTTCCTCGACAACATCTGGCATCGCACTGACGAGCCTTCAACAGCGAGATAGTTATATAGGCCCGATGACGTCATTAATTTTCGGACAAGATTTCAACTGTGAATTACAGCTCATTTACGCCATATTTCGCTTCAATATTGATCATACAGCAAGATTATAATATTGACTCAAGAAATATAACAGTAATTAATCACTATCTAGTCTAATTTCACTTCGATTCAATCGAATCAAAAGCAGGAAGTAAAATAATAAAGGTGTCATGTTAGACTACCGATCATCTACAAATTAGACTGCCAGATAAGACTGCCCGATCAACATAAACAAAATCGTGATCAAATAAATAAAACATGTGAACTATTTCACCTCTGTAAGTACAACCTAAGTGCTGCAAATGATACTACATTTATAAATCTTAATAATCTCAATGGGAAATTACTTTCCAAGTGTAATAATTACCTAATGTACAAAAATACAGCACTTTATCAAAAATCAAAAATTTTACATTTAAAATTCCGTTACAATATATTACATTATTGGAGGGAATATTACACTAATGTAAGAATACTTAGAATAGATTATATGTTTACACGATTACAAATTTTTAAGAATTCTACTACATGTTTTGTAGAGAATATCTCATTCATATCACTGCTGTTTTAGGTGCTGCCTATAGTTGTGCAGAAGATAACCTAAGGACACTTATTGACCTCCACAAGATTCCATTCTTGCCAACCCCAATGGGGAAGGGAGTTCTCCCAGATGACCATCCATATTGTGTAGCACCAGCGAGGTCTTTGTAAGTAGGATTAATTATTATTATACATACTGCATAGTTCACCCTACATTGAAATCAATTCATTTCTGACAAACAGATCTGCCTCAAATATTTCAATGCAACTCCAACACTGTTCCCCAACTCGTTTCTATGAAATCACATCAAAGTAACAAACTAGAAGAACTGCCTGTGTTTTAGTTAGGTAAGATTTTTTGCGATTTAAACCTACATGATGTGGCTAAAATTTAAAGAATATAGTCTAGTTTCAGAATGAACATACCATTGGGAACAATATTCTAGACTTTCGTAAATGTAACAAAAATATTTGTTAATTTGACGTTACTTCAAAGTAACTACCGTACTTGAGGAACAGTGTCCAAAAAAGTTTCAAAAATCTTATAATGTTGCACATAAAATTTCTAAATTCTAAACTCTTCTACTAAAAATATAAATCTTGAAATGACCACTAAAATAAAATTACATTTTTTTAAGCTGTTCTCAACTTCTAATAAAGGTTTACTGTATCCTGATTGCTGGAATGCTCATATGTAACTGCTTTGCATGAAAATATATCCATGTTAGTGTTAACATCAGGGAAGTGTTCTCATTTACAAAATTTACTTTACTTTAATTTTGCCATGGTTACAGGGCTCTTCAGCAAGCAGATGTTATATTCCTATTTGGAGCTCGTTTGAATTGGATCCTTCATTTTGGAGCACCGCCAAGGTTTAGACATGATGTCAAAATCATTCAGGTGAGTGGAAATAGAGCTGGTTGGTTAGTTTGATTCACAAAGATTAGTTTTATATGAGAATCAAAAAAGGCACAAAGGAAAACCAGGCATTGACATGGAAATTGTCACTACCTGCCATGTGTTACAGATGTAGAATGCTGTCTCAGATGCTGACTACCAAACACCAGCCACAAAAAGTCGGAGACTATATATAACAATATGCCACCATCAGAAGTGACACTACTTACATGTATGAGCCAATGTAACCAAGGATAGGATCACACACCCACCACCCCATTATTAACAATATGTACCTCAATTCAAAATTCATGCATTTTTTGATTTTGCATCTTCACAAGTAAAATCATGTCTGGTTATATTAGTTTGCATTTCAACCATGTATCTTCCTCCTCTTCTTACTCGTGGGTAAGAGAGGGGAGAGGGAGGGTCTCGATGAAACATTATTGATACGAGAATACTCTTTAAGTTATCTTTTATATACTGGTATATCCCTACATATACTTCTGACTTGTAGGTAGACATATCTGCAGAGGAATTACATTCTAGTCGATCAAGCGCAGTTGCAATACATGGTGATATAGATACTGTAGTCTCCCAGGTAACTTACAATACTTTTTAACTACTCTGATGTATAGAAAGCTACATTTTACGGTTCTTACATTTACTATATTTTATCGCTGAAAAAGTGCACAGTTCTAATGTTTATTGAATTCAATACCACTACACCTACCATTGTATTGTGTTGATGTCTGTATACATTGAGTGGATGTTTTGTAATAATCACAATATAAAGATGGCATGTATGTATTCTTCCAGCTTAATAAAGAACTCATTAGTCAACCAGGGAAATTTGAGTTCAGTATTAATTCACAATGGTGGAAAGATCTCAGACTGAAGATTGACAACAATCGTAAAGTAACACAAGTAAGTTCTAGTGCCTCTAGAAGTGAAACAACTCTGTTAGTTGAACACTTTTCAGAGTCCCAATACCAACTGATTTAATGTTAAATGAAACTCTATAGGTGTTTCACATAGACAGGTTTTACTGTATAATCATAGTGACTAACTACATTAACAGAAAGATGGTACATGTAGTTGTTGTTTATCTATTTAGATCTTAAAAGATTACCGTCATCTTTCCTGGCCTATTTGTATATCAACATATGGGGTTTGAATCAATAAAAAGATGGCAACATGATTTCCTTACATCATGCTCTTGATCAGTATGTGGGTTTTAAAAGCAACATTAAGCTACCCTCACTGGCTTTAGAAAATTAGAAAATTAGCCTTCAAAATGTTGACCCAAACCTGTGCTTACATTTTCAAAGAGCCTTTTAATTTTTAATTTTGCTCCCCCTAAATTGAGAACTTCAAGGCCCCTCGTAATTTGTAAACATGTGTATAGTATTTTAAAGTGTTTACTTTATACATTGTATATCTGATTGAAAATGGGCTGTTTCAAAGAATTATCTTTTATTGAACACCGCGTGATATCACAGACTTGGCTTGCTTCACTAAGTTGACTGTATTTCTTTTCTTCATATTAATGTTACATCTATAATTACAGTCCATGTATATTTACTAAGTTACTGAGCCTGTCAATCTTCAAACTTACAAACCAGTTGTTGACATCTTCATGTAAGCAACTTTGGAAATTATATGCTCCACTAATATACTGAAACTTCTATATTTTGAGAGAGACTATAGCGGGGTACACAATATGCATAGTTGACCTCAGTCATCAATTGTATGAAATTTTGATTTGATTTTCTTTGTTTTAAATGTAGTCACAGATAATTGATGAGAAACCTATGAATTACTACACTGCGTTCTACAAAATCAATGCAGAGCTTCCCAAAGATTGTATCATTGTAAATGAAGGCTCTAACACTATGGACATAGGGAGAACTGAACTGCCCAACATCTTACCAAGACACAGGTACATGCAATATTTTGGATGTCAAATCAGGGTAATTTCTGGAATATTGTTATGAGCTTTAGGTTTAGATGTTGATTCATTTAATATTGTTAAAATATTGGATATATTTATGCCACTTGGGCCTATCACATCGCTAGATATGTCAACGTCATTTCATGTAATGTATTGTTAAGATTCAACAAGTTTACAATTTTATCCCAGCTCCTTATGTTTCAAGTTTTTCTATTTTGCATTATATATTTTCACCCAGCCTCAGTATAAGTTACAGGATTTTTTAGTTTCACAAAAAAACATTAATATGTTCATCTTGCCCCTTTAAATGTGTAAAAATTAAACAATTGTCTTTAAAATTAGAAAGGGTAAAACCACAATGTTCCCAACTAATTATCAATCTTGTAATGTTTAGATGGCCTTGTCTGTCACGATGGATAAATGCTTTCTTTTAAAATAAACACATAGTAGTTGTGTAGTTTGCTTATTAAAATAAATCATTCTTTATCTGATCAGGAAATGGGACACTGGCACACATGTACATGTACTTTAAGATAACAATTATATGAGCCCTGAATCATTACTGTCAAAAATCGTATTAAGTTTCCCAAGTAGACAACCATTTTCAATATAGTTGATTGATTTTGCTTCTTTAAAAGAGAGTTTCGTGTACTCTAGATTAGATTACTTCGTAGATTAGGAAACTTTTGTTTTCTTCATCCTAGATCTACCCCTGGGCATCAGGTTACTCGTTCATTAAATCAAAGCAATAGGTCTCAATACAAAAGCTCCGGGCATTCATAAGTGTGACCTCATAAAACTTTTCAGTGATAAATTAATTGGAACATGTACTTATATCACATCTCAAAATCTCTTCAATTCAAATTCAGAATATTGAGGAGAACATGTGAGATTAAGAAATATGTCCAATTAAAATTGTTTTATAGATTTTTGAAATTTATTTGAAACATAGGAACAAATCCTACGCCAAGGGCTGGTGTGAAAAAGTCACTCCACCTCAGTGGGATATTGAACCCACAACCTCCCGATTAGATCTTGGATGCTCTACCTGTTGAGCTACGGAGCCGCATGGCCTTTCCACATCAACATTGCATATATGCCTTCTCTGCCATGACTTACATGCACAGTTTTCTGGACCCTTGCAGGGTTTACCTGTCTTTCCAGGTTGTTAATCACACTATTTATGATGTTACATGGTCTTTCCCATGCACCACTCCCGGCCAACTAGGAATTTTTTATTAGTTTATTTGAAACCATGGGCTTTCAACTAGAAAGCCCATGTTGAAACATAGGAACAAATCATACGTTAAGGGCTGGTGTGAAAAAGTCACTCCACCACAGTGGGAATTGAACCCACAACCTCCTGACTAGATCTCAGATGCTCTACCTGCTGTACAACTGTAAATCTATAACATCCACTGATTACATAGTTAGTTAAACATACAATACATTAATATATTGCATCAATAACCCACTGCACTATATCATTATAATGAGTTTACCATAATATCACCAATGATTGATGTGTCTAGCTTGTCAAATAACTGATATTTATTTTTATATTCTGATTGATGGTGCAGCTGTTAAACATATAGTGATTGTACAGTAATATCTAGAATGTTGTTGTCATTGGCCTTTTGCAAGTACATAATTAACAGATTTGAACAAAAGGTTTAAAATTAAATGTTGTGATGCATAGTGCACTTTACCTATTGTAATTTAATACTTCAGCCTAATTCCATTAAAAAACAATACTACATTTACATTTTTTATGTCACCACCAATAGTTACAGTCTCCAACTTTTTTGTGGATGGTTCTCAGTGGTCAGCTTTTGGTGTTTGGCATTTGGCAATTGGTGGTCGGCATTCAGCGTCTGTAACAAATGGCAGTTGGTGACATTTTGCATGTTAATGCCTTATTTATTTATAATATTGAGAGGTTATCTCATTTTAATTCGCAAGGTTTCAGCTACTCCAACTGTACCATGATATCTCCAACATATAATTTGGTTGACTGAGTTGATGCCAATGGGCGTGCAGGTAGCACGAGAAACCCATTAATTTTTACATGTGCAAGAGCAAACTAGGTGTCCATTATAACACATTCACATTCTAATATGTGTGTATAATTGTTATAAGATATAATGAGTATAGGCTTTAAGTGATGACTCAGTACTGACCATTACAGATCTACTTTACAGATGTACTTTTTGAAAATGTGACTTCTTGTTCAGGTTGATTCCCCATAGACCCCATGTTACAAAATCACCACAAAAAGTGAATTATCTTCTCTTGTATTGGACAGATAACATTTTCTTTTACTGGACATATTTTAATTTGCATAACTATTAGATACATAAGGGTTATATGAAAATTGAACCACACAAATACATGTAGATGTAATTTAAGTTTAAGGGAACTTTCTACTATACCCGCCATGCTATCTGACCTGAACGAGCCACCTGGTGGTGAATCTGGCAACTACCTACTCGCATCTGCGTTATTGATTATTGCTATGTATACGAAGAAAATGATAATGTTATTTATCCTCTAAGTGCACTCAGCAGTCAGCAACTAGGCCAATTGCCTGGGGGAGGGGGAATGTATACTGTTGATCATAGGATGGTTTGGACTATAGTTATAGTGGTATTATAGTGCTTGAAGACTAAATCGGTTAAAGAGTTTATTGCACTGTATATCAATTTTCTTTTCCTATCGAAATTATATAAAACGTGCTCCCCTGAATCAATATAGATGCTCCACAGGCGTAACAACCCCAAGACTTCACTATAATGGACGAATAATGAAGTATAAAAATGCCCATCTGAATTTTGTTACATTTATTCTCCTTGGAAAGAGAGAAAATGGCCTTGAACCTAGATTGCACGCGCGATCTGAAGTAAGCCTACGTGCAATGTATTTCTGGTGTACAAGAATAATCTAATTGTACATCCCGTATTGCACCAATCAATCGAAATATTGTAAAACAAGCATGTTTCTAAATTGAGTAAGAGGAAGTGTTTTAAACAAAAATGATAATAATAATATCAATATATATATAATTTGCGCAAGCCAAGCAGACTTTCAAATTTCTGTCATGATCATGAAGTTGTTGTGTGATCAAAATAAGCTCAGTTTCATCACAAGGGCGCCGGGGATTAGTATTGTGTTAAAAATTAAATCCACATAATACTCCCATCGCCAAGGCCCCGATACAGTGTGAATCTGACCTTATGTAAGCGAGGTATTAGGCGTGTTCACTCAGGTGTTGTAATAATCGCTCGCGAATCGCAGCTCTGTCACGGTGAATAGAGGAGACACGATTCAAATTCAAATTGGTTTTAGCCTACTTCAAACGTATTCCGAGTGAACACAATCAGGGGGCCCAAACATTGTGAACTATTTATTCACAATTACAGGAGTGAGCGTGATAAGCTCTACTCAAAATGTATTCTGAGTGAACTCAACATGGGGGCCTAAACATCGTCAAGTAGGCCTATTCATTCATAATTACAGGAGTGAACGTAACCAGCTCTATATTCATGTAGTCTAATGTGCCTATGTAGACGTCATCGTAGGCTCATGAATATAGAGTTCAATTGATCGAAACCGAAACAACACGTTCACTGAAGTGTGATTTATTAAGAACAACAAACGATTATTTGTATTTTTATATTCTAATTCATTTCCTTATGCTATGATGAAGTTTATTCAACGGGAGTCGCAATTATTTATATATACCGTACAATAAACACTTTAACTGGTTAACCAACAATAGTGCATTGACCTTTCTGTATTTTTACTGTTAATTAGTTGGGCATGTATAATTTTGTTATTTCCTGTGTTTACATTGCACAGTGGTCTATTTGTTTTTCTACATGTCCTTTAGTGACGCTTATTATGGGCTAGGTTGTAGCCTTAAGACATACATGTGTCTTTTCTACAAGGATACAATAATACGATGCAAAAATATTTTGACCTACTTTATATTCTTGTTTTTAAAATGCTCCCTACATGTTTATCCCACAATTGGGCACATTTTACAATGGGTAGCCCAAGTGCATCCAGTGTTGTTATAACCTCCATTTATAACAATTCTTCTACACAATGTTGGGGGAATACATAAAGGGGATAGGGAAGGGGGTAGGATTGCAGAAATGATGCATTAGACTTCTTATATACAATATTAAGTACTAGTATGCTTCACCTATATATGCAACATAAAATAACTGAGAGTCAAAACATAAGAATCTTCCATATAATAATAAAACAGGTCATTTAAAGGAATGCTCATGCAAAATATTGGTTTAATCAACCCATTCTTTTAAGTTCAATGTAGGTGTCATATAATCATATATATGCCTTTTATTGAGTCTCTGTTGCCATAACAACAATGACAAATTGTTACTATAGTGTACAATACACAAAGATGGGCTAAGACCAAACTAAACTAGCCACAAAAGGCCCACAAAAATGTTTTTAAAACATCAAATGATAAAAGGTAAAAATATCAGTATGATGGTCTCATTTGCAAAATATGGATCCAGTTTTTTAAATGAAAGACAATAAACTTCTGCTAAATGTAAAATACATAAAACTTTTACAAGCAATTTAGTATTTCAAAAGCAGTTAAATAAAAGCATTTACATGAAAACGCGATTTAAGAAACATGCAAAATAGCACTAAGTTCGTAGAAAGACTAAAATGTTAATAAAAAATAGTATCTCAACACTGGAATGAATCCAATCTTATAATATACTATTCATATGTATTTAATTATTATGTTACTTGTATTTATCACAACATTGCTATTTTTATAATTGATTACTCCATTTGTCCGAAGGCTCATTACTTCATTGTTAAAATGATCTATTTTTACTTGACCTAAATTGACACAATGATATGGCTACACATGTTTGACCGTGTTAACTATAAAAATGATTGTAGCTATGTGTTTTGAACAATAATGTATTATTGATCTGCATGGTTAAGACTATTACTGTTCATTAGCAAAAATTGAATTAAATTGTTGCAAATGAATGCTGGCCTTTTTGCCTTGTTTTTTATTGTTTATTGATGCAGTCTTACAAGTTTCAAAGTACACATCATTAATCAAATAGCAATATTTCTCTTCATTTTCTGTTCTGCAAATTCTGTTCTTACATGTTAAAATATAGATAAATCTTTTTTTCTGATGACCAAACTCCGATCAAGCTGTATCTATTTTTCTGATGTAATATGTTAATAAGTGTTAAAAACAAAACAAAATGTTGAGATTTACAAATTTTACCTGTAACTGTATATTGTGATGTCATAATTGTATGAAAATCAGTTTACCTGATGAAGATGTATGAATACATCGAAAATTTGTTATCTCAACATTTGATTTTTCTGATGATATTGCATTGTAAGATTTAATTTCTGATGAAATTACATTGTTAGATCTACTTTTTCAATGATATCACATTGTAAGATCTATTTTTGTTATGATAATTCATTGTAAAATGATTTAATTGGAAGTTCTCTTCTTCTGATTTTTCTGTTCAGACTGGATGCTGGTACGTTTGGCACCATGGGCGTTGGAGTAGGGTTTGCAATTGCTGCTGCCCTCTGGTGCAGGGACTATGCCCCAGGAAAGAAGGTTGTCTGTATACAAGGAGACAGTGCCTTTGGCTTCTCTGCTATGGAGATAGAAACTGCTTGCAGGTAACCTTTCACTTTAAAATTACGCACACACCTTGTTAATGAAACATGTTTTGGAAATGAGAGTTTTATCAATAATAATGAAACACTTAAAAAATGATATTCATACTTGTTATGTCACCACCAAAAGTTGTGACATATTAGTTGGATTTACACTAGAGCCATAAGACATCTTGGGTAAACCGTTTTAGCGTTAAAATATTTTACAAATGTAATGTAAATCCACATTTTCTCAAGAGGTCTTGGCTAAGAGCGCCTAGCTAAAACGTTTAAGGACCCTAGTCATAGCCAAGACATCTTAGCAGTAAAACCTTTTACAAAGCAAGTGTAAATCCATCAGTTTTAGCTAAGAGCTCTTAGCCTGGTTTTGTGTGTTGTGCTGAACAAAAAATTGAAACTTTCTGTTTAGATATGTAACATGGTCCTTTCTTTTGTCCAAACCATTGTTCCCAATATCACCCCAAAAATATCGAGAAGAAGAACCATCTTCATCTTTGCCTGGTGTTCTTACATTTTCCTAATATATGCACTTTATCGTGCAACTCTCTTGAACGTGCTTTTGACAATGCTCTCTTCATGACATATATTTGCGAACCCAATGCATCTTTAAGCAAAAAGTATCTTAGTAGGAACAGAAAAGCCATGTTGACTAAACCATCCTTCAACCAGGACTGAACAAGATATCTTCATATTACATGTATTCCTACATGTCTGTGTAAACTCAATCATATTTCGTAAGACATCTTGAAAATGCTGATGTAAACTCAACATGATTTTTCTAATACGTTTTAGCCAAGGTCTTAGATTGCCGCATGTAGTGTAAATTGGGCTATTATTGTAGTCTCCAAATTATCAAGTCCATTGTCTTGCATCAGTATTTGGTCAACAACCAGCCCTTTAGAAAAAAGCCAACCCTGCTCAGAAAGTTTGATAGATGGATTTAAAATGAAATTCGAATAATAGGCCTAATTTTCATGAATGCAAAAAATCAAGTAAAAACATTTTATAAAAATATAAAAACTACAGGGTGTCTCAAAAAAAGGACACCGAGATTTAATTGCTTATTTCTCAAATACAAATAATAATAGGATAATTTCACAGCTACCTTCCGACAGGTAATGATGTTCCCTTTTTTATGATACCAAAGTTGTATATTTTCCTTCACGGATGACTGAGTTCTAAGGGATTTAAGCGACCATGTCAGAAATGGGTTTGTGCCACTTTTCCTTTCATGAATGACTGAACAATGGGGGATTAAAATGGCTATGCCAGGATGGTTTCGCACCCTGTGCCTCCTTATTTGGGGTTATCTCAAGGATAAAGTCTACACAACATTACCAAGGGGCATTGATAATCTAAGGGCCAGGATTGTTGCAGCAGTGGAGGATCTAAGGGGACAGAGAGACATCAACAGGCACAAACCCATTTCTGACATGGTCACTTAAATCCTTCATTGCTCAGTTATCTGTGAAGGAAAATAGAGCATCTTGGTACCATATGAAAGAGAACATAATGACACAAATGATGGTTTTACGAATTGCCCTTAACATTATTCATCTTTGAGAAATTAGCAATTTCATCTTGGTTTCCTTTTTTTGAGACACCCTGTATATACCGTAAATAAAATGTATGTGACTGGATTAACAATAACTTATTTGTTTTCTGTAAAGAATAACAAAATGAAGTGCAGATAGTCCTGCTCTAAACTTATTAATTATATGAAAACCTCAAGTTATAACATAACTTAATTCAATGAAAACTAAATTATCGAAATCGACAATTACCTTCCACCATCTTAGATGTGAAGGTTACGGCCATTTCCTTCACTTGATACTGACCAGTGACTTCTGTATTATAACTTCTGTGACTTCTGTATTATAATGTTTTTATGTTTTGTTTGATGTTTGTCAGGTATAAGCTGCCAATCACATTCATCATTATAAACAACAATGGGATTTCATTTGGAACTGACCAAGAGAGCTTTGCTGACTTACAGGAGGATGACCCCTGTATTAGGTAAACATCCTACTTGTTATTATCTTGTAGTATCAATTAGCTGTTTTGTAAGCTAGTATAAAGATATTGTTTATTCTTTTTGCATTGTTTTTTTCGATGTGCATGTTATATAAATGTCAATGAACTGTAAAGCAGTCGAGTCTTTGGGTGACAAATATTAATTGTGTCCGACTTTTTTATCTTTTTGAAATCTTGATCTTGTCGCCTTTGTCAACATTTCTGAATGTCTTAAATAACATTTTATAAGATCAATTTTATCTGTTTATCTGAACACCTCTCTAATCTGAACACCTCTCAATGTGAACACTTTTTTTCACAGTCCCAAATTTGTTATTTCATATTGTGTGATATAATAATTATTATTATTATTAAAATATTTTATTATAGTGTCACTAGTGTTAAAAGTATAAATACAATGTCAAATACAAAGTAAACTAAAACACTACCAGCCGGTGTCGGCTTATGAGACACTTAGGTCCTTCTACAATCTGGAACAATGTCCATTAAATAATAAATAAATATTCTATTCTATAATATACAATTATTGCACTGTTCAAATATAATATCAGCATGTTTTTAGAGTAAACATTTTAAGTTGACTAGAATAAATATCTGTTGAGCAGTTGTTTTGATCATTTCAGACCCTCTCAATATTGAAGTTCCTTTTTTGCCACATTTTAAATAGAGTTGAAGCCAATAAATTTTGGATGTTTTTGTCATGCATAAGACTGATCAGTGTACCCAGGCCATCATTTGAGTTAATGTTTATATGGGGGGCTGTTACTTTAACATTGTCATAAAATTCTTTCCTGATGTCCTTATAATGTTCACATGGAGTCAAAAAGTGTATCTCATCCTCAATACAATCATTATCACAGAGAAAACATTTTCGTTCTTGCAGCGGTGTATTGTTCCATCTACCTGTCTCTATATTTAAGTGGAGACTTCCTGTTCGGAACTGAGCAAGTATTCTCCCGTGTTGTCTGGGCATTCTGTTTTTTAAGTACTGTTCAGTCACCACACCATATTTAAATTGACGGAATGTCCTAAGTTTGTTTCCATTTGCTTCATTATTTTTGTCATCCCATATGTTGGTTAGGAATGTGTCATTTTGATTTAGGTAATGTTTCAGTGCATTAAGAGCAAGTTTGGTTGAGACGTTTGTGCCATTTGTTATTGGGACTCCTCCTTTAACTAATAACTGCTGTGTTTTATAGAAGTCACACCTCTCTGACAGATTGAACATAAATAGTAATTTTCTTTATGAGTGTATGTATGTGTACTTTAAACAATGAAAGGTAGAATCAGAGATAAGAGCTAGCAAAATGTACAAAAATTGGAGTCGTACTTCATGACTGTGGACCTCAGTCTCCTCCAATTTACTTTACCAACACAGGGGGGGGGGGGCAGGGTCTTGACATGGAACAAGACTTCAAAAAGTGTGTCTCCTTCAGTTTCTTTTTGTCTCATATCAATCCTTATTATGCAGGGCTGCTATAAGGAGGCCATTGTGAGCCTTGTTTTCAATTTTTGGCAAATTTAAGGAATGGGGTTAAATTTTCTAAGAAAGGGGTCTTTATTTTTGTCCACATGCAGCAAGGAATTTAAAAAGTATCAATTTCTATTTACTCACGTAAATACTAAATTTTGAGTTATAGGATCAATGATCCAAAGTGCATTTACGTGAGTGACCTCCTCCTGACCTTAGAAATTGATTGTTTAACCATGCCTTTTTCAATTTTTCAGTTTTTTACCTTATTCAAGGAAGGAGAGGTCTAAGAAAATGTTGTATATTATGTAATTTTGTTCCAACAAGGTTTTGAAAGATCTTTTAATGATAATATTAAAAAATATACATAAATAATTTTAGCATTAAATAAAGAATTTCCTCAAACTTTATTCTATGACTACTTCATATCAAATGCTCAAACTCATGGTCAAGAGACACGTTATAGATTCAATCTTAGAGCTAATCAATTTAAATCCACATTTGGACAAAGGAGCATTAAATACATAGGACAAACAACATGGAATGAATAACCTGAAACTTTTAAACATCTGAATTCTAGAAATAAATTTAAGTCAGATTTGAAAAAGTATTATCTGGACAAGTATTAAATTGATCTGTATAACGTTTAGCTATATGTGCTTATATGTATATTTCTTTCTCTTCTATTACTTTCTCCTAACTTTCTATCTTTAAAAACTGTTTTATATCTTGTCATCTTGATTAATCATATGTAACTAACTATATACATCCGCATGGGTGTCAGTTGCCTGTACACTGAACATTGATATAATTGATGAATAAACAACTATGCAAACTGTAAAAAAAAATTGTTGTCAATCAGTGACCATTACATAAAGGACAGTGTTTTTTTACAGAATGTTTTCAATAATTGGTTTTAGAGAAAGACAGTGTTGTATAGAGTTTGCCATATCGATACCGATCCTTTGAATGATAGAGGCACATTGGTTGGTAAATTTTAAAAGTTGCTTGCAATTGTATCACCATGTCACCCAAGCTTTAAACCTTTTTAAATGGTTTTAGTGGATATACATAGGCTTAGGCCAGGGGGGTGCCCCCTTAACCAAGATAAATATAACCATGAGATAGAAAATAGCTTTAAAATGCTTTTTTAAGCTTCTAGCTCAATTTTGAAGGAAGTTGCATCAATTTTTGTAAAATTCAAGATAAATTTTTTGGCTGTTTATGCCACAATCGCACCCCAATTTTTTTGACGATTGCACCCCCCCTTCCCTGACTGAAAGCTGACGACGTCCTTGACATATTGTATACATATGTACATATTAAATATGATTTCAGCATTCCACCATTTGCACTTACTCCCAATGCGCATTATGAAAAGCTAGCAGAAGCATTTGGTGGGAAAGGTTATTTCCTAGAAGATCCCAGTGAGCTGCAAGCTACAGTACGCAAATGTATTCAGGGGAATGACACATCTATTATAAACTGCATGATCAACACCTTTGCAGCCAGAAAGCCACAGGTACAAATATTATAGGAATTACCTATGGTTTTGAAAAATATCATCTATATCCATGAGTGAGTGAGGACCGCGAATGAGTGGAAATAATTGATATTTTTGAAGAACCATAGGATTGTCTGTTTATCCCATGGAAAATCATCATCAGCGAAAAAGAGTTGAAAAAAAGATTTGAAAAAGTTGAAAAAAGATTGTCTTAAATATTTTGAAAAAAAATTGTTTGACAGAGAATTTTCAAGATAGCAGCTGAATTTTAAAATGGCTACCATTTTTTGTAAAAAATGTAATCTTTGATAACTCAAATTGCTGTGATTTATATGCTGATGCCTAGGGACACAGTAGCTCTGTTCGAGAAAGATTTTCAAAATGGCGGCCAAATTTCAAAATGGCTGCCATTTTTCTTCAAAAAGGAATGTAACTTTAATTACTCAAATGCTAAATGATGGATATGATTTGCATTTTATATGATGAAGCCTAGGGAAAAACAAGCTCTGCTCAAGAGGGAAATTCAAGATAATGAAATAGTAATCAAAATATGTTTTGTTCGGTGGGATTTGCTACTCCGTGGAGTTGCTGTTTTTCTAGCTATTATATCATTGGATTGTTCCTCCTCTCTCATTGGCAAATATTGCATAATGGATAGGCACATATTTTTCTACAGCCTCATTTCAGACTGTGTATTGTTGGATTTAGTTGTCAAAATAATGTCTTCACAGAAAGGTCAAGGGGTCAAGGTGAACTCTTTCCATATCATAATGATGATTCAAATAGATCATTCTTTTGATCTGAACTCATGTTCATCTTTCCCTCATGTTTTGAACAAATGTTTTTTAATAAACGTTTATGTTCATTGATTGTAAAATGAAAACATGTACTGCATGTACTTATATCTATAAATGTTTGTATAGTACAGTGTATCATGAAAAACTTTTAAACTTCACTTTTATACTTCACCCACATTAGTAATTGTATAAATGATATCTGAATTTTTCATATTTAATGTTTTCTATTTTCAGAGCTTTGAATGGTTAACAAGATCAAAGATATAAGCGGATAAGCAGATATAAGTTGGTGTGATGCCGTATATATGCAATGCAACCTGTATTTAAAAAAACATTAAAAACATTTCATGACAGAGTAATTTTTTGATTTGATTTGAAAACTATATTTTACCATTCCATCAATCTTACCATTCAATCAACATAAAACAAGGTATATACCACCAGGGTATATTTTATAGTAAGAAAAAATCTGGCATGAAACTTATTATGATAAGAAAAAGTGTGATGATATATTGTGTTCTGACAAAGAGGGTAATAACAAATAGTTTATGAAAGTCAGTGTGGTGACAAATAGTAATGGCAATTTGTGGAATGACAAATAGTGTAATGACAAATAGTGTTCCACAGTTTCAAAATCTTGACCACTTTTTGACTAATCAGAATCCGGCATTTCAACTGGGGTACTCACAATATTCACTATTCATATTTCTGTACCATTAGTTTCAGTGACAACTTAAATTTTAAAATGTATTTCTCAACCACTTTCCGGCACTTGTGAGCTTATTTCTCTTGTTTTGAAAACCTCTTCCAATTTTTTCAACATAATATTTAAATATGGCAGGTGACCTTTTTTGTAAATTCAAATGTTTTTGATATGAGAGCACAATGTAGTGTTATCTCCAAGGTATTTGCTGAAGTATTGAAAATGTATGGAACACCATTTGTAACTCAATATAGTGTTCCACTTTGGAGGTGTTCAACCTCTTACAGAGGTGTTCCACTAACTTTAAAAGATAAGCACTTCATGTCATGCTCAGTTTTGGATACAAGAAACATCCTTAGGGAAATATATCATATCTACCCTTGCTCCCTTTATATGTTCCTGGAGTCTATTTCAGGGATGGATACAGGGTGTTTAGAACTATAGTTATATACACATGTATTTTATTTTTGATAGTGATACACCTTATTCACACTACCCTACCACGTGACCACGTTTAAAAGGGAAACAGGGTACAGCTTAGTTGCAAATGGAGGACGTGGGTTTAATTCCATATTTCTGAACGTAAAATACATTTTACATATATTTCTAGTGTTCTACCAGACATAGAATTGATTCATCAAGGAGTGTGTAGAATATTGTTGGCAAAAAACCACTATAGGCAAAGATAGATAATAGTGGGCGCAGTGAAGCAAAACCAAATGCAATACACGATACATTTCAGTAAATCTATCAACGTACAGGGAGCATGTAAGTGTCCCTTCGAAAATGTTACATTGATAACCAAAAAAACCCAGTTAACTGTTGTTTAAACTGCGTGTCATCGTGTTATAGGTGGATACGTTTTCTAGTATGTTAGTCAACTGTATTTTTGTGAATTTGAACAAAACATTTTGAATGGTCGGGTTTTTAGGACGGTAGTGAATTAGACCATTCAAGGGGTTCTATAGAAAGATTCTTCATATGTAGTTCAGGCAGTTTTAATTATTCTGAGTAGCAAATAGTCATTAATACTGATAGCGGATAGTCATTTATCATTAACGTGTTGATATTTAATTTCGTTATTTTATTTCAATTTGATACCCTAGTAACACGTATAATCTAGCGTTCTTATTAATTTAATGACTAAAATGCATACGACTTGAAAGCCCGTGTCTAAATCTACAAAATAATGTTTACTTTATTTGGATTAAATAACAATTGATGACACCTCAAAGCATCAACAGGCGGCCTTTTTAGCATTACTTTCACTGTTTGCAACGTAAATGTACATGAGGTCGGGACATAGTATGTCTGTATAATCAGCTTACTTTCTCGCTCCCTGTACTATTGAACAATTTACATTCCTTGTACCCTGTATTGATCAACTTTTGCAGCTGTGTACCGTGTACTATGACATATCAAATATTTTAAAATTTAAAACGATATTATTTACATTATTTCTTCAACTATCATATAACTTGGAACATGGACTTCACTATTGCACCACTGAAGTGTAGCGAATAGCAATATTGACTCACTCCGAGCACCAAACGTATTAACCTTTTGACTAAGCAGTCGATATACTCAAAAGCGACATGTTTGAAGGCCAAAAGATTCGCGCATGCGCGATCGAGGTAGGGTAGTGTGTTATTAGATCGTACTGATCATGATACAAATCTATTTCCCTTTGGATATTTCAAAAACTCTCATAACATAACAATTCATCTACAGTACATTATAATTACTGTACACTATAGTACAGTACAATTTGTTGACAGTGAATCAGTATTATTAGTAGAGTATTAATAATTATTTAATGTACTCTCAGACTCTCTATGATAATATTATTACCATGCTAGTAGTTGTTTTCACACATACACCATATAAGAGTGCAGTTCTAATCATGTTATCCTACTCAAATTAATTTAATTGAATGTATTTAATATAGCAATTTATATTTTTATACAATATATTTTGATTCGGAACTTTTGTAATGTCTTTATTAGAACCTAATTGGTCTGATGAAAATATAATTTTTAGAATATTTTATAACAATTACAATTAATTTTATTGTTATTTGTAATTGAATGGAGTATAATGAATGAGTTCATTGCAATAAATAATTTATGATTCAATAAATCAAATGCTTTCTGGTTTAAATACCATTACAAAAAGCTTGTTGTATATAAAAACAAATAAACTCTAAATCATATATATTTTTGTATCAAGGATATTGCAAAATGTAATTAAGCTTTTACCCTTTTTTCATAGGCTGCCTTATGGGCATGGGACTTCTCCTCGAGAAGGAATATTCAATATGGCAGCTCAATTCAAAATGGCCATCATTTTTTCGAAAAAATGATTAATTTGATACCAGTTTACAGATTTAGTTCAAGTTTTATATCCTGATGGCATAGGAGATATGAACAAGAATTTTTTTGACTGCCATTTTTATTTTTGATATTTTCGATTTAAATACTAGTTATTATATGATTTGGTCACCATTTTTTGTAAAAATTATACAATAGTCATCTGTTGAATTCAAAGTGAATCTTAAACTTTATGTGCTAACTGCTGATGGCTTTTTGTCATAGACCTTTGCTTAAGAAGGAATTTTCAAGATGGATCTTAAATTCAAATGATTTTGCTTTTTAAATATGATACAGAGGATATCTTATGATTTTTTAGGGATACCATTTTTATCAATGAGTGGAAATCGCCGATTTCCAGGAGTTAGCTGCGCTCACTCCTGGACATCCAAGGGTGGATAAAATTGATAGCCCGAAAAAATCATAGGATATCATATTTATCCTATGGTCGCTATTTTTGTATGGACTTAAAATAATTTGACCTAAAAGTTTTTTCATTTTCTGTGAACTTATTTTTACAAAATAGTTGCACAAAAATGTAACTCATTTTTACTGAGCACATAATCTTGGAACTTTAATGTTGCAGATCAATGGCACGAGTGGTTATTTGGCGCCAAATTCAAAACTAATGAAAAAATCATTTTTAAGACGTCATATGAGTCAGATGCGATTTTAATGGCGCATACCAAAATTATGTTATGCGTTATGTTGGATTGGCAACTCCAGTGAGTTCAGTCGTAGTCAGTTGGTCATATCATAGGCTAAAGGGCAATAGAAATAAAGAGGGCGTGCCAATCAATCTGTATTTAAAGAATAAAAGAATTCTACCACTGCTGCCTTTATCATTTTGGCCCAAAACCTATGCTAAACACAATATAAACAAATCAACAGCATACATATACTATATCTAGTATACTTGTAGAATATAACAAACAATTACAAATTGTAGTGCTTAATGTGTTCTAGATAAAATATATTTCAAATAGTGACATTTATTAGCAATTTTCTATATACATGTAGTCCCATGGATTGATTCAAAAGGTTTCAGTTGCATCCAGCTTCCTCTTGATATACGAGCATAACCTGGCAAAATTTTATTTGAAAATATCTATATATAATATAAAACAATTCCAATGGATATGTCCTAAGTCTAAATACCTCACCTGTTTTTTACCTCCCTATATGTGCATTCAGGGCAGATGTAAAACGCTTTAGAAACTTAAGATGCCTTTCTAGTATGTCCTTAGAAACCTTAGATGACTATCTGTTATTGTTATTTGCTAATAAGATATCAACAAGGGAGTGTTGATGTTGAAAGATAATAAATGTATTTGCATTGTCACTAACAGAGTGAGAATAGACCTAGTTGATACATAACAATAACAAAGCTATCAATGATTTTGTTGATCTGGATTGAAATGAACTGCATCAAGGTATTCAACTCAGCTGTGAATGTTACATAATCATTATAACGTTATGACAATTCAATAGACTGCACAAATGCTATGACAATTCAATAGGCTGCACAAATGCTGTGACAATTCAATAGACTGCATACATCCTATGACAATTCAATAGACTGCACACATGTTGTGACAATTCAATAGACTGCACAAATGGTATGACAATTCAATAGACTGCACAAATGCTATGACAATTCAATGGACTGAATAAATGCTGTGACAATTCAATTGACTGCATAAATACTATAACAATTCAATAGACTGCAGAAATGCTGTGACAATTCAATAGACTTCTCAAATGCTATGACAATTCAATAGACTGAATAAATGCTGTGACAATTCAATTGACTGCATAAATGGTATGACAATTCAATAGACTGCACAAATGCTATGACAATTCAATAGACTGAATAAATGCTGTGACAACTCAATAGACTGCACAAATGGTATGACAATTCAATAGACTCCATAAATACTATGACAATTCAATAGACTGAATAAATGCTGTGACAATTCAATTGACTGCATAAATGGTATGACAATTCAATAGACTGCACAAATGCTATGACAATTCAATAGACTGAATAAATGCTGTGACAACTCAATAGACTGCACAAATGGTATGACAATTAAATAGACTCCATGAATACTATGACAATTTAATAGACTGAATAAATGCTGTGACAATCCAACAGACTGCATAAATGCTGTGACAATTCAATAGACTGCACAAATGCTGTGACAATCCAACAGACTGCATAAATGTTGTGACAATTCAATAGACTGCACAAATGTTGTGACAATTCAATAGTCTGCATAAATATTATGACAATTCAATAGACTGCACAAATGCTGTGACAGTTCAATAGACTGCAAAAATATTATGACAATTCAACAGACTGCACAAATGCTGTGACAATCCAACAGACTGCATAAATGCTGTGACAATTCAATAGACTGCACAAATGTTGTGACAATTCAATAGACTGCATAAATATTATGACAATTCAATAGACTGCACAAATTGTGTGACAATTCAATAGACTGCACAAATGTTGTGACAATTCAATAGACTGCATAAATATTATGACAATTCAATAGACTGCACAAATGATGTGACAATTCAATAGACTGCAAAATGCTATGGTAAATCAATAGACTTCAGAAATGCCATGGCAATTAAATAGACTTCTTAAATGCTATGACAATTCAGTAGACTGCACAAATGCTATGACAATTCAATATACTGAATGAATGCTTTGACAATTCAATAGACTGCATAAATACTATAACAACTCAATAGACTGCATATATGGTATGACAATTCAATAGACTCCATAAATACTATGACAATTTCAAAGACTGCACAAATGCTATGTCAATTAATAAACTTCTCAAATGCTATGACAACTCAACAGGCTGCACAAATGCTGTGACAATTCAATAGACTGCACACATGTTGTGACAATTCAATAGACTGCACACATGCTGTGACAATTCAATAGACTACTCAAATGCTGTGACAATTCAATAGATTGCATTAATGCTATGACAATTCAATAGACTGCACAGATACTATGACAATTCAATTGACTTCACAAATGCTATGATAATTCAATAGACTGCACAAATGCTGTGATAGTTCAATAGACTTCTCAAATGCTATGACAATTCAATAGACTGCACAAATGCTATGACAATTCAATAGACTGCACAAAGTACTATGACAATCCAGTAGACTGCACAAATGCTGTGACAATTCAAAAGACTGCAGAAATGCTCTGAAAATTCAATAGACCACACAAATGCTGTGACAATTCAGCATACTGCACAAATACTATGACAATTCAGTAGACCGCACAAATGCTATGACAATCCAATAGACTTCTCAAATGCAATGACAATTCAATAGACTGCTTAAATGTTATGACAATTCAATAGACTGCACAAATTATGTACAATTCAATAGACTGGACAAATACTATGACAATTCAATAGACTGCACAAATGCTATATGCTGTGACTATTCAATAGACTGCACAAATGCTGTAACAATTCAATAGACTGCACAAATGTACATCCAGGTATGCAAATGCTTAATTTAACTGGAGTGCTTGAGTATACAGCTTTACCAAGCAATAGGCCTATCAAGACGAAAATCACAGAATTATATTTTCACTTGCAAGATTATCCATTTAGTAAATTAAGCCATTCAATGCCCACACTAAGAATAAGCCATTCAATTCCCAAACTAACCAATTATGACTCCAATGGGTTGTCCCAAAATCATATTTTGTAGGTACCCTGAGTTCAAGAGTATGTGTTCTCCGAGTAAGATGAATAAACTGTTAATATACACTTTTGATACATAACTGATAAGTAAATGTCCCCAAAAGTAATTATCAAGACCTTTTATAGGAGTTTCAATCCGAAATAAATCCAGATTCTTATGAAACTATAAACTTCAGGAATAGCTCCATGTATTTTGATTAGGTAACTGAATTATGATATACCTATGATTTTGGGCCAAAATTGTCAAAAAAACCTCAGGCAAACCGAGGCAGCAAGGGGTCGTGGGTTCGATCCCCACTGGGGTGGACTGACTTTTTCACATCAGCCTTTAGCACAGGATTTCATTCTGTGTTTTCATTAACTAAGCTGGCTATGGGCCTGTAAGGCTATATCAAAAGATTATTTCCAACTCCAAGAGTTTATCAAAAAGGGTGGGTTGTGACACACCATACATATATTCATGAATGGTCATTGCATTATTATACCACATGCACGTAAGTATGGTATTTTAAAAGATTGTTATACTTCATTATATGTCATGCACGACAGATCTTGACAACACAATCTCTTGACACAACCAAGTTTCACTTTTTGTTTCACATTTTTATTCGATGAGTGGGAGAGAGCTTTATTTAACTGATTGCACTATTTTGTATATCCATGTATGACTATTCAACTAATAACTTACAGAGTCTGATTTTGCCACTTTGTATAAGCATGACCATGTGATTGAGCTATCACATCTAAACAACTTTTAGAATGAGTAACATAGAGAAATGCTTGACAAGGAAATGTGCTTCTATAGTAAAGTATATACTGTACATTTGCATGGACCATGGGCTTTCTTGAAAGCCCATGCATGGACATAACATTCAAGTCCATGGCATACAATTATCTTATGACATTTAAACTGATTGTGTGTATAGTCATGGGCTTTCAACTAGACAACTCTTAATTACCCAAATGCGAGTAGGTAGTTACCAGTTTCACCACCAGGTGGCTGATTCGGGTCAATTAACATGGCAGGTATATAAGAAAGTTCCCTTAAACTTGATTATTATCAATTTAAGTGGCTCAATTTTCATATAACCCTTATGCGTCTGATACGTATACTAATGAAAATATGTCCAGTAAAGCAAAATATTATCTGTCCACTAATTAGGAAAGATATTTCATTTTTTGTGATTTTATAGCATGGGGTCTATGGGGAATCTCCCCGAGCTAGAAGTCACATTTTCAAAGAAAATTAATTTTTCAAAGTTGATAAACACTTTTAAAAACCACATTTCTAGATGTAATTTTACATGTAGATTCCAAATATGATATTACTTTGACTGAATTTTGAATTTTTACTGACGTAAATCAAGATTATTTCTACTCGCATCTGGGTTATTGAAAGCCCGTGGTATAGTATACAACAAAATTGCATACCAACATGCAAAATTTGTCAAATGCATAATGCACTATCCTCCTGTTACCATGGGAGTCATGGTTGAAGCCACTGTCACAGGGTTTATATGTAACAAAGGATCATGGGTATGAACAGGATAGAGATTCAAATGATTGTGCTGTTGGAACTTGGTTGTGACATACCTCCATTATAGAACTAAATGTAGGTCTAAGGATTGAATACTAACTGCAGGCTATAACTACACACGGGCTACCTAATGCAATGTTTGTGTAAAACACACAAAATGTATGAAACATATGTTTAATTTCAAAGAGCATTTGGGTTGTGCTGCAGCTATAAATAGCACTAATGTTACAGGCAGCATAGGAGCTTGAGCAATAAGTCTATTTTTAGAAATCTCAATAATTGCTGCGATTGGGCAAAATGTATCACGTGACCAAATGTTGATGGTTTACACAGGAAAGGGTCAGGAAACATTCTCGGGTCAAAATTGGAGTATTTTCGCCTAAAAACAGTTATTTAAGGTAAGTGCTGATGGTTGTAGTAATGATTTATCGATTGTCCATCTATATGTGTTGTTGATAGTGACTGGTTCGGAGATTTAAGTGTCGAATTTGAACCCTGTCAAATCTTGGGACTCATTTTGAGTCAAAATGGCCGAGGCTTGTCAATAACAAAATAAAGATATTCCTATGATTGTTCCTTCTAAACTTGTAAATTTAGCACTTTGACGAAGATTAAAAGGTAGTCATTGACACAGTTGTTATTCCATTGAATTATTTTATTCCCTAAATGTAAGCAATGCTATCTCTAGTTGACTAAATATCACTGTGTAAAACAGTCTGCATGCCAGAATTCAGAAACTGGTACAGCAACACTCTTACATCTTACATCTTACATCTATCCTAGGGGAAGAAGGTTGGATCCTGTATAATCCCCATCTTTTTATCGGTCATTGTTTGTATTTGTTACTTGTTATTTGTTGTGCGATGCGCCAAATAAATAGTTCAGTTAAAAATTCCCACATGCTATCTATTGCAAGGCTTATGCCTGGCACAACCCTCACCATGTTATTAAGTGTTTTTAAGTTTCGCAAGGATTCTGCCATGACCGTGGTATTGTTATCGTGAAAGCCTGTGACAATGCTATAGACTATTATTTACTTAGTTTGCACAAAGCTATCTCCTGAGAGATAGCTTTGCAAAACTCGGTATTCCCAGCCCATGTAAAGGTCTTTTCCAGAGATGTTAGAAATCGTGGGAACACTTACACTACTTCAATCGATGTATAACATCATAAAATATCGGTTTAATATTCTCAGAACACGAGCTGGAGTCGGGAGACAGTGTAATCGACGAAAAATGTATTTTGAACTTGTTATTTCCATGTCGTCCTGACAAAGGACTGGGAATATCGAGTTTTGCATAGCCATCTATCTAAAAGATGGCTATGTGCAAATATAGTAAACTATTATATTGTTGTGTTTCTTTTCCCCAATACGGGAAAACATTTTGAATAAAGAATTTTCCGCCATCGAATAAGTAGGGCAATCTGCAGTTATTGTGAAAGCCTGGTATAACCGTGACAATGCTATATTATATTGTTGTGTTTCTTTTCCCCAATACGGGAAAATATTTTGAATAAAGAATTTTCCGCCATCGAATAAGTAGGGCAATCTGCAGTAGTTTCGGTTTTGCTTCAACTCTTCGCGCATGCCTAATAGTTTGAAATAATTTACAAGTGCGCATGTGTGCATGTGAATTTAAGCCAATCAAATTATTCATTCTAATGTGCATGAACTAAATTCCGAACCAAGAGGAACTGGCGCAGATTGGAGTCGGGGCAATCTATGCGAGGTTCAGTTTTTACTTGGTTTGGTTTTACATAAATGTAAGTACTTCCTTCCCATGATTCAAATTTGTTTTCTGCGATCAGTTCGGTTTAAATTTGTACATCAAACGTCCACAAATTGGGGGTCAGTTGATATTCTGTTATAACACTTCTATTCTGTGTATTCTTTTGTTTATATACTAAACTATTATATTCCCGCAATTAAAGATGAATTATGGGTAGGGACTACTGTGAAATAATGAACGTAAGTGACATCTATCTTAGATTATAAGTTCTAATCTATTATTATTGATTGTGCATGCATTTAAATAATTTGAACCAATTATATTGCTGGATCTTATGCGCATGTACGAAAAACCGAACCTAAAAATGGAACCTCGCTCAGATTGCCCCTAGTGGCAGATTGCCTCAAATGCTTAAATAGCTCTTTAAAAGCTCTTCAAAATAGATCGGTGAATAAAAATGAATAACAACTGAAGTTAGAGTGGTTTATTTAGTTCGATGTCAGGATATTTCAACATGTGGGGCAAGTTGTTTTCGCCTCAGACAAAATCGTAGATTGAACACAATTTTACTTCCGGGCTTAGCCACGACAGTTTGCTATCGGCAACAGAAATAACACTGTTGTTATCGACAATGGAATCTCACTGTCGTTCAGGCACTAATTCAAACTGAAGAAGGCAGGAGAATATTGGTAGATCTTTGTCAAAAATGATTCAAAACAATCAAATTCTCGATAAGAGTTCAGGTGGTAATTTACATAAATATCTCCCATGATGCATCTCCCATGAGAGGTCTTCAAACGGGAGGTAATTAAACTGAACTAAATTAATCTTTATCGCATATTGGAGTATTCATAAATGCTATATTTTTCATTTTTACATTCTATAATGGAATATTCAGTGAAGTTTACAATGTGGGTCAGGGAGCAATCATGATTTGCCAATAGGTGTCTCTGAATGTAACCAGTTTGTTTATCCCATCAAATAGCGTATACTTTCTCATATTTTCCGTATTTTACATGTTTATCTCCTACTTGTTCATAAGTGTAAATTCCTACGTAGAAAACGTCAAAGTCTTGTTACAATCTTTTAGCAAGTAAAAACTACTTTGATATATATTATATATTGAAGACCTAAACCCTTGATTTTCAACGATTGAACAGAGGTGAAAATGTCAATCATATTTCTGGCTTTTGATTCTCTTGCATATATGAGATCTCGTATTTAGGGTATCATATTTTTATCAAACATTCCAAAGTATTCAGTTCTTATTGTTAACACAAGGGCAATGGTTGAATGGTATGATTTGTTCAGCATTTGTTCCCGATCCCAACCAAACATAGGTTTGTTGAATTTGAAATGTTAAAATTTGTAATAACGGCAATGCATGTATGCCATGTAAAGAAATAATAAACAACAATGGGTCTCTTCCATCATGAGTAAATATAGGATTTTTGCTTTTTCTAAATTTCACATCTTTGTTTTGTCATATGACTATCAGCGCTTGCATTAGGTTAGAAAATTTGTGAGTCCCAAGGACGCAATTTTTTTTTAAAAGTGTGTCCATTGAAAAAAAAGTGTGTCCCCTATTTCTAGCCTGTTTTTAAAACGAATTTAAAACGGAAGTAAACGTTAATACGGACTGAATAAATGCATGTTCGTTCATTCGACAATGAATACATTTTATTTCATGAATAACCTAATATTTGTTTCATAGGAAAAACTGTGGCGTGTCATGGTTTCAAATCTAAAAATCAACAAAGTCGAAAAAATTCGAGAGAATCATGATTATTTGTAAATATTCAACATGTTGAGCCTTATTTACGATTCAAATAAAGGCGAGAGATCATGATTATTTGTTTTTGTTAGGTATCGTTGTAAACACATTGTAGTATTGACCTAAAAAATTTTGCGTCTAAAAAACGGAAATATTTTCAAATTTTGCGTCCTCCAAATTATTTTTGAGTCCTTAACATGTACGGGACGCCGTTAATGCAAGCCCTGGACTATACAAGAAAGCTTTTCTCTCCTGCACTTGTCTAACTACTTAATATATCTCATTTTATTTTATATTTTGTTTACAGTGACCTGTATTAGATTGCGAGATGGCCTAATGGATGGATTATATTGGATAACCTCAATAGAACTGAAGAATATCAGTTACATCAACAAACCCTAAGTTTTCGTATAATAAGGATTTTTTACATCCTTGCTCTACATGAAGCAATTTTGCGTCGTCATAACCAAGACAGCCTTACGTCTTTGGTAATAATCATCACTATGGACAGGAATACTTTAAGCAACAATTTTAATTGTAAGTAAAAATCTAATTTTTATTGATTTGAATGTACATGTATAAGCATTCATCTTGAATGTCAGGCTGCTTAATGTCTGAGAATTTTTATACACTTTTGATCAAAAGAACAAGTATACCAACTTTACATTTTTTGGGAATCTGAGATCATCAACCACATCTACCCATACGTTTGAAACTTTCTTATGGCTCTCTGGTTTTATGTTGAATTCTTAAGAGCACATTCAAATTAGGGCTGTGCCGGAACCGGTTCGGACGGTTCGGAATCGGAACCGGAACTTGGTCTCACGGAATCGGAACTTTCGGAACCCCTTTTGGTTCACAAATGAAAATAATTATGTATGAGTGAGTTCGACGGCGATCATGACGATATCGTCGTCCAAGTTTGTCAGGTTAACACTTACCTTTCCTGTCAAGCAAGTTTGAATGTTTTTACGAAAGAAATAGACTCTAAAATCTGTAAAAAGAGAGAAAATTCGATCTTTTTTCTACTTGTTTTCACTTCCGGCTGCTCCAAGGAGGATTGGCTCCCAGAATGCACCACCGATATTCTGTCCCATATATGGTAGCGGTGACCTTTGACCTCACAGGTTTCAAAATGGTTTCAAACCTGTCACTTGTCAACAAGGTCAAAGGTCACGCTACCATATATGGGACAGAATATCGGTGGTGCACTCTGGGAGCCAATCCTCCTTGGGCTGCTCTGACCATAATGCGCATGCGTAATTGAAAAAGTTTTGAAACGAAATCAACGAAATTGAAAAACTGTGAAACCCAAGGAGGATTGGGTCCCAGAATGCAACATCGATGCTCTCTCGATGTTCTTGATGTCTTGATTACAAAATTTGAATTCAAACTGCTTTTTCGTTTGAAAGTAAGACCAAAATTAACGATTCAAACTACTCGAGGAAAATCTGTCATGGGGAAGATAATTTCTTCTAAATCAATTAATCTGATATTGTAAGAGTTAAAATGTAATTAATTAACGCTGTTAGATTGTAAGACGTCATGGAAAAGTAAATTTATTCATTTATCTATGAGTATTTTCGCCCCGTCGATTCCTACTTCCAATGAAATCCGAAGGTCAAAGTTCGTAAAACAAAACTTGATTTCTGTTGATTTCTCCGCTATTTATTTTGTTTATGCGAGTAATACACATGCAAATTGGATGTAGTTTGAAGGAAAACATCACTGGAGGAACAATGGTCACGGATATTAACGATTCAAAGCAAGTACTAAGGTAAGGGTCCGATATTGTTCCGAAACCCTTCGGAACATGATATTAAAATTCCGAATTCCGGTATTTTAACAAAAGTCCGCGGTTCGGACCGATTCCGGTCGAATGGCACGGCCCTAATTCAAATATAGTGCACATTAGCCTAAAAACCAAGAGCACCTTGAATGTAACAAGAGAGACATACCTCCTCCAGTATTGTGATTGACTGAAATATCAATTTATATAAATGTATACACACAATGTTTTCAAGATTGTTAATTACCAAGGATGTAAAACATTATGATACACCTTCCGTTGGCATCTTTATCAAGTACATGTAGTAGACAATAAAAATGTTATCAGTGGAATTTTAAGTATGCACTATGCAGTCAAATTATCTTGAGGTGGTTTGTCAGTAATGCTTACTGCTTAGGTATATCCCAATGTTCAGTAGTTTTAATGGTTTCCTAATATTGGAATCCAATGTCATTTTCACCCAGGTACATAGAATTCTTCAATACATGGTCTACATTTTTCAGTTTTGTACAGAGTGCTTAGAAATAGATTGTTAGTTAAGGGTTAATAAATATTCTAGATACATGTATATAAAAATAGGTGAAAATATAGTGACCTACTTTTTTGTACTTTTAAAAATTAGGTTACTGAATTATCAAAATGTCCATATATTTTAGAATATGATTAACCTTCAACTAATAATGTAGGTATATTTATTATGTTCTTTGTGCAAGAGTCCAAATGTAAGGAATAAAATGTAACATATATACCTGAAAATCACATGGAGGTCCAATTAGCAATCTATTAAGATTTCTGAACATGCACAAATACTTAATGACTACATCATTTTGATCTGCCTCAAAATCATCTGTCCAAAGTAAGCAAAATGCTTATTCTTCACTTAAAGATATTTCATGATGAAGTAATGCAGTGGCATCCTTGGTCCAAAGATCAGAATCTCTGATCATTCAATCGTGAATGACTAGAATTTCAGAATGGACATTCTGAAAACAGTCTCAGAATCTCTGATCATTCAATCGTGAATGACTAGAATTTCAGAATTGACATTCTGAAAACAGTACTGATTTGCATGAAGTTTCAACTTGTAATTATATTATCTATAAATAATACTTATCATTTAACAAGATAATTCAAAAATAGACAGGGATGAGTGAAGTATAGAAAAAAGATTAGGTTATCAAATCATTGTTGAACATAATCGCATGTATCTGTTAAGCCTTAATAATGTCTTTCTTGTTAACTAGAAATAGAAAGATATGCTATACATAGAATGGAAAGACTAAATTAGTTCTCCATTTCTATATTTAACTTACTCACTTACGTATATAATTAATTATCAAAGAGTGTCCTGAATGTATTAGATTTGAAAACTGTGCATGTTTACGATCAGATGAATAGAAGTCCCAATTTGTAAATGAGGATTTTTAGCTCAAGAGTAATTGCTTGAAGTGTCACAAATACTTAATGTACCAATAGGAGGAATGGAATGAAAAAGCTTACGTGTAAAAGTTTTAAGTAAACGTGGGTAGTTGATCCAATTATTCTGCTTTAGTTAATGGTCAATTTCTCATATTGATTATTACATGCATCGATGGTGACTGTGTTTTTGTGTTGTCTCTACTGCACGTTAGAATCGGTTGTTTCAAAAATATATCCAAAAGTCTACCCCTGCCACAAATTTTGTGAGGAAATGACAAAAAAGATAGTTCATAATGTATATTTATTGCATTTGTGTCGCAGCAGTTATTCCTTGTTTTTATGTCACCACCAGAAGTAACATATTGTTTTAGTCTCCAACATTTTGTGGACATTGTTGGGCATTATTGGTGTTCAGCGGTTAACATCTGTAACAAATGGCAGGTAGTGACATTTTGCATGTCATTGCCTTTTTATTTTGTTCTGATTGAAATAGAATCTGCAGTTGAGAAATCTGGCATGGTGAGGCCCAGTCTGGAACTGCACCGGCCACTGTAATATAAAATTTTGTGTTTGAGTTAATAAAGATTTATACTGAATAATATAGAAATAAGAGTGACAAAAATATATTTAGAGTTTAGGTAAGTACCACATTAGATTTCCAACATGAAGATTCATTGTTTAGAATCAACAGTGAGTATGATGCAGAATCATGGTATTCTGAGTACCAGGCCTTTCATTAGCAGCATTTTCTGTATGCTTTCACTGTAAATTAATTATATGATTTTTGCCTGTTCTTATGGGGCTAAATTACCAGCCATGCTTTTTTACCAGTGCAGGTGCTGATCACGTGTCCTGATCATATATACCCTCCCCATACACTGACTCCTCTCGAAAGTCTGCACTATAGAGCAGCCTGCCTAGTTTCAGGTGCTATTCATGGGTCAAATACTGATAAGGTACTTTCTTCTCTAAATTGGAAAAAGCTGGCATCGAGAAGAGATGAGCACTTAAAAATTTTTATTTTTAAGGCACGCTTTAATGCTTTACCTCCCTTCATCTGTGATGTGGTGAGAACTTATGAAATTGTTCACACTAGAAGGCTGAGAGATCAGCCAGATTATCAAATTCCATTACATACTAGTGTCTCAACCAAAAAATCTACAATCTTTAGTGCCATCTCAGCTTGGAATGGGCTTCCACCAACTATCCGAGTTGGGCAGCCAATCTCAAGATTTAAAAGATCAGTCAGGAAGCAAAGGAGCCATGCATCCTTACCCACATCCAAAATGGAGTATACTATGCCAAGACAAACTGAAATTACTTTCAACAGACTTAGAGCTGGACTCTTGCTTAATAGCCATTTACATGCCCACAATTTTACCACAATTAATGATCCCAAATGTCCATGTGGTGCAGCTCATCAAACCACTTCTCATTTTCTAATCAAATGTCCACTGCTCATAAATGAAAGGGAATTGCTTCTTGCAGGACTCGACGAACTGGAATGTCTGCCAGATTTCAGAAATCTCTAAGAAATCAGATACACTTTTATATGGGGATACCAACCTTAGTGATGTGATGAATAGCAAAATTATTGAAATCGTGGCTCACTATGTCTCAACAGCAATCACAGTTTTAAACAGCCAGTGAAACATTCTAAATTCCTTTGGGAACCTTATGGGTGGGATGGGGAGCAAGCATACATATAGACTGAACATACTACGTGGTTTTTGTATTTTGTATTTCCTGTATTATATTTTTAATATTTACTATGCCGATAATGTTATTAAGTTAACAAAGGCATACTTTTGTATATCAATAGCAAGGAAATTGAAATAAATAAACTGAAAAAAAAAAAAAAAAAAATACACTGACTCTATGGCTATGTCCTTACACATAATAAAAGTATACATGTACTATTACAACATAAACTATATAGTTTTCTATTACTTATTTTAGACCTGGCGTTAACGCCATTTTTTTACCGTTTTTAGACATATTTGATCAAGTCTGACGCAGAATTTTTGTTTCACTAACACAATTTTATCCCCAGATAGACTAAGGCTAGTTCCAGGGGTCCACACGACAAAACAACGTTTTGACCTATATCTTACCAATCAAATTATATGTCACACTCTTTCTTTGGTTTAAAAACTTATACCAATCGAGATTAATCCAAACAGAAACAACGAAACTGAATTCGTTTTGTACGTTGTTTGCAATTCTCAAAATGTGAAAAAAATCCTTAAAGCATCAACTCATTCAAAATGTTCTGCAGAACGATGCTATAATATGCACACTTTGCCCACTTAATACTGTTATTAGACTG